TTTTTAAATAAAAACTTTAGGGAATATCTTGAGTGTAAAGTTAATAACTTTCACAGCTTCATTTAATTGTAGTTTTATAGCTTAAAATGTGGCTTCAACAATGTAAAACCCCTTAAATCAAAATATAGCTGTAATGATATAATTAAAACTTGTTTAGACTGACTGCAAACCAATTAGTTCTAAAGCATATGTGGAGACAATTCATTAAATCAAAGGTCATTGTCTAAATTTTCTTTAATTATGAATGTGATATCAACCAGGAATGAATGGGATATTAGCCAGGAATGAATGTGATATTAACCAAAAATTATGAATATTGTGATGGAAGTTATTAAAGAAATAAAGTAATTTCAGCAAAAGTATCCATTTTCAAGTTGAATCTACTACATGTGGAATTATTTTCAGTTTTTCACATAAATCTGAAGAAGTTTGTGTATTTGAAGTAGTACTGGAGGCCTGGCCAGCTTTATCAGGACATGTGGTAGGCTGTTTATGCCAAACACATGGAGACTGCCTTCCTGTCTTTAAATCAGAGAAATTAGACAAATTTTTATTGCACGTGCCCATAATTACCATGGCGATAAGGGGTGTGTGATGACTTTTGACAGTATTGCATGAAGTATGAAAACCAGGCACCGGAAGATCAGAGGTCACTTAGTGTTAAAGGTCATAGACGCTTTGTAGTATGGTACATAAGCTAACATTATTATACTGAACATTTCAGTTTACGTGGGTTAAGTTTGTTTACGGTATAAATGTTACCTATCATTATAATTCTGGATGAATATTTTTGAAGAAATATTCGAAAAGTGCTGCTAGTTTTCTGGTGTAAATTCTTTTCTTTAAAATCCTACTTCTCCTGTAGTAATGGTTGTATTTTGCCCAAATTTGCTCTAAAGTCTCTTTTGGTGAAGGGGAATCAATTTTGTATATAAACATTTGGTCTCAGCCCCCTGGGATGAGAGGAACAGGACCCAAAGGGTGAAATAGAGCAAATTCTTCTGAAATCTACCCTTCCTATAAGAGAGATTGGATATTGCCCAAATTTGGTCTTATCCATTCTTAGGTAAAGGGGAATCAACTTTGTAAAAACAGTGTGTCTCTGCCCCCTGGGGCAAGGGGGGCAAGGCCCAATAAGGGAAATAGAGCAAATTCTTTAGAATCATCCACCTCCTGTAGGCATGATTGGATTTTCCTCAAGTTTGGTCTGAAGCATTCTTGGGTGAAGTGGAATTTTTTGTATAAATGGTGAGTCTCAGCCCCCTGGGGTAGGAGGGTGTTGCCTGATAGGGGAATGTAGGAATGATTGTTTTTTGTGTCGCCTGCCAAAGGCGACATATATATATATATATATATTACTATGTTGGCATCTGCGACAGTGGTGGCACTATCGTCTGCACAAAGGTCTTTTCGCGATAACTTAAGTTCATTTTGGCCAATCAAATACCAACTTCATACATTGCTTCCTTACCAAAACTGCTTACTTGGGATTGCTTTTCAGGTTTGAAAGTCAAAGTTCATGGACAGCTGGTTTTCATGCAATAACTTTAGTCTTCTCTGGACAATTACACTCAATTATCACGTGGTGCTTCTTTACTAAAGGGGCTTGATTTTGTTTGAAGGTCAAAGGTCAAGGTCACAATTTCTATGAATAGAAAATTTGTCTTTCCTGCCATAACCTTACCAACAATGGTACTGGCTTTGGATTGCTTTTCAAGTCAAAAGTCAAAGGTCAATCTCTATATTTATGGCTATTGTTCCATAACACTCATCTTCAGAAACCTTGCTGTACAGATGAACCATCCACTTTCGTGGAATTCTGTTTTTTTTTCCCACATTTGTTCAGAAGCATTGTTGGGTGAAGGGGAATCAATTTTTTTTATAAACAATAGAAAATAGATATGTTGTGTAAATAGATATTTAGAAATCATTTTTGCCTTAGTTTTAATGAAACAATTTCAGCCAAGCGAAAACCAAATGAGCGATACAGACCCTATGGGCCTCTTGTATGTTTGATTGTAAGTAGTATGTTTGGTAGTACATGTAAGTGAGATGTTTAATAGTACAATAGAATCAATTTCAGTCTCACATTGTTGACTGTACAACAATAGAATCTGTTTCAGTCTCACATTGTGGACCGTACAGCTGTGGACTGTACAACTGTGGACTGTACAACAGTAGAATCAGTTTCAGTCTCACATTGTGGACCGTACAACTGTGGACTGTACAACTGTGGACTGTACAACAATAGAATCTGTTTCAGTCTCACATTGTGGACCGTACAACTGTGGACTGTACAACTGTCGACTGTACAACTGTCGACTGTACAACAGTAGAATCTGTTTCAGTCTCACATTGTGGACCGTACAACTGTGGACTGTACAACTGTGTACTGTGCAACAACACAGTAGAATCTGTTTCAGTCTTACATTGTGGACTGTACAACTGTGGACTGTACAACTGTGGACCGTACAACAGTAGAATCTGTTTCAGTCTCACATTGTGGACCGTACAACTGTGGACTGTACAACAATAGAATCTGTTTCAGTCTCACATTGTGGACCGTACAACTGTGGACTGTACAACTGTGTACTGTACAACAACACAGTAGAATCTGTTTCAGTCTTACATTGTGGACTGTACAACTGTGGACTGTACAACTGTGGACCATACAACTGTGGACCGTACAACAGTAGAATCTGTTTCAGTCTCACATTGTGGACCGTACAACTGTGGACTGTACAACAATAGAATCTGTTTCAGTCTCACATTGTGGACCGTACAACTGTGGACTGTACAACTGTGGACTGTACAACAGTAGAATCAGTTTCAGTCTCACATTGTGGACCGTACAACTGTGGACTGTACAACTGTGGACTGTACAACAATAGAATCTGTTTCAGTCTCACATTGTGGACTGTACAACTGTGGACTGTACAACTGTCGACTGTACAACTGTCGACTGTACAACAGTAGAATCTGTTTCAGTCTCACATTGTGGACCGTACAACTGTGGACTGTACAACTGTGTACTGTGCAACAACACAGTAGAATCTGTTTCAGTCTTACATTGTGGACTGTACAACTGTGGACTGTACAACTGTGGACCGTACAACAGTAGAATCTGTTTCAGTCTCACATTGTGGACCGTACAACTGTGGACTGTACAACAATAGAATCTGTTTCAGTCTCACATTGTGGACCGTACAACTGTGGACTGTACAACTGTGTACTGTACAACAACACAGTAGAATCTGTTTCAGTCTTACATTGTGGACTGTACAACTGTGGACCGTACAACTGTGGACCGTACAACAGTAGAATCTGTTTCAGTCTCACATTGTGGACCGTACAACTGTCGACTGTACAACAGTAGAATCTGTTTCAGTCTCAAAGCGTTGTTTAAATGTTATCAGGGGAATTTTCTCACTGTCTTTGAGAATGCATGAAAGGGAATGAGCACTACATTATTATCTACCAACGTTTATCTGGAGAGAAAACTAATACAGATGTAGAGTCTATAAATAAGTCTATGTTTTGGGGGGATTTGGAATCTACTTAATAAGTCTATGTTGGGGGATTTGGAATCTACTTAATAAGTCTATGTTGGGGGGGATTTGGAATCTACTTAATAAGTCTATGTTGGGGGGGATTTGGAATCTACATAATAAGTCTATGTTTTGGGGGGATTTGGAATCTACTTAATAAGTCTATGTTGGGGGGATTTGGAATCTACTTAATAAGTCTATGTTGGGGGGGATTTGGAATCTACTTAATAAGTCTATGTTTTGGGGGGATTTGGAATCTACTTAATAAGTCTATGTTGGGGGGATTTGGAATCTACTTAATAAGTCTATGTTGGGGGGATTTGGAATCTACTTAATAAGTCTGTTTGGGGGATTTGGAATCTACTTAATAAGTCTATGTTGGGGGGATTTGGAATCTACTTAATAAGTCTATGTTGGGGGGGATTTGGAATCTACTTAATAAGTCTATGTTGGGGGGGATTTGGAATCTACTTAATAAGTCTATGTTGGGGGGGATTTGGAATCTACTTAATAAGTCTATGTTGGGGGGGATTTGGAATCTACTTAATAAGTCTATGTTGGGGGGATTTGGAATCTACTTAATAAGTCTATGTTGGGGGGGATTTGGAATCTACTTAATAAGTCTATGTTTTGGGGGGATTTGGAATCTACTTAATAATAAGTCTATGTTGGGGGGGATTTGGAATCTACTTAATAAGTCTATGTTGGGGGGGATTTGGAATCTACTTAATAAGTCTATGTTGGGGGGATTTGGAATCTACTTAATAAGTCTATGTTTGGGGGGGGGATTTGGAATCTACTTAATAAGTCTATGTTGGGGGGATTTGGAATCTACTTAATAAGTCTATGTTGGGGGGGATTTGGAATCTACTTAATAAGTCTATGTTGGGGGGATTTGGAATCTACTTAATAAGTCTATGTTGGGGGGGATTTGGAATCTACTTAATAAGTCTATGTTGGGGGGGATTTGGAATCTACTTAATAAGTCTATGTTTTGGGGGGGGATTTGGAATCTACTTAATAAGTCTATGTTGGAGGGATTTGGAATCTACTTAATAAGTCTATGTTGGGGGGGGATTTGGAATCTACTTAATAAGTCTATGTTGGGGGGGATTTGGAATCTACTTAATAAGTCTATGTTGGGGGATTTGGAATCTACTTAATAATTAGTCTATGTTGGGGGGGGGGGGGGGGGGGGTCTTTGGAATCTACTTATAAGTCTATGTTGGGGGTTCCCCATGATTTGGAATCTACTTGAGTTTAATTGTGTTGGGGGGTTTTGGAATCTACTTAATAAGTCTATGTTTTCTATAATGGGGGGATTTATGTTACTATAGAATTTTTCAATTTTTTCACTTAATAAGTCTATGTTTAACGGTAACTTTTGAATGAAAACAACTTAGAAATAAGTCCATTACATTTAATATAATAACAATTTGTTTTATTTTCCAGACATGACATGCATTCAGTCTATCCCAACATGTTTGTACAGAGAGAGGAGAACAACTCCAGATATCGGATTTTCAACACGCTGTTTGAGTTACCAAGTATGTATGTTATTGAATGGTTTTGATGTTGATGTTAATGAAATTTGGATATTCACTTAAGGCAGGTTGATAGAATATTTAGGTGTTAGGTAAGGCAGGTTGATAGAATATTTAGGTGTTAGGTAGGGAAGGCTGATGGAATATTTAGGTGTTAGGTAAGGCAGGTTGATAGTATACTAACGGAAAAAAGAAACTGTGCATCACTAAAATTTAATTATCTCGGAAACTACCGAACGTTTCTCAATAAAATTTCATGGGCATATTTATCGTGTCATACCACACGCTATCACGTGATTAGGTCACCTACCGCACGTGCATTTTGCAACCTACCCGGGTAATATGATCAACACCTAATTGGAAGGCAGTACACGTGTCAGTGAATACCTATCGTTATTTTTGTGTCAATATCCCTCTGTGGGTACCATATGAACCAAAAAACATCCTAGTTTCAAGAAAAAGCGATTTCTGATAATGCCACGGTTGACGGAAAATGAGCGTTTGCAGATAATCGGCATGCTTGAGGCAGGAATGACCCAAAATGACATCGCACAGCGTTTCAATGTCCATAGGAATACCATACAGTCTTTAGCAAGACGTTATCGGCAATATGGAATCACTCGGGAAGGCTCATGGGATATTTTGATGTTAGGGAAGGAAGGCTGATTGAATATCTAGGTGTTAGATGAGGGTGGCTGGTGGAATATCTAGGTGTTAGATGAGGGTGGCTGGTGGAATATCTAGGTGTTAGATGAGGGTGGCTGGTGGAATATCTAGGTGTTAGATAAGGGTGGCTGGTGGAATATCTAGGTGTTAGATGAGGGTGGCTGGTGGAATATCTAGGTGTTAGATAAGGGTGGCTGGTGGAATATCTAGGTGTTAGATGAGGGTGGCTGGTGGAATATTTGGATGTTAGGTAAGGGTGGCTGGTGGAATATCTAGGTGTTAGATGAGGGTGGCTGGTGGAATATCTAGGTGTTAGATAAGGGTGGCTGGTGGAATATCTAGGTGTTAGATGAGGGTGGCTGGTGGAATATTTGGATGTTAGGTAAGGGTGGCTGGTGGAATATCTAGGTGTTAGATGAGGGTGGCTGGTGGAATATCTAGGTGTTAGATAAGGGTGGCTGGTGGAATATTTGGATGTTAGGTAAGGGTGGCTGGTGGAATATCTAGGTGTTAGATAAGGGTGGCTGGTGGAATATCTAGGTGTTAGATAAGGGTGGCTGGTGGAATATTTGGATGTTAGGTAAGGGTGGCTGGTGGAATATCTAGGTGTTAGATAAGGGTGGCTGGTGGAATATTTGGATGTTAGATAAGGGTGGCTGGTGGAATATTTGGATGTTAGATAAGGGTGGCTGGTGGAATATCTAGGTGTTAGATGAGGGTGGCTGGTGGAATATCTAGGTGTTAGATAAGGGTGGCTGGTGGAATATTTGGATGTTAGGTAAGGGTGGCTGGTGGAATATCTAGGTGTTAGATGAGGGTGGCTGGTGGAATATCTAGGTGTTAGATAAGGGTGGCTGGTGGAATATCTAGGTGTTAGATAAGGGTGGCTGGTGGAATATTTGGATGTTAGGTAAGGGTGGCTGGTGGAATATCTAGGTGTTAGATAAGGGTGGCTGGTGGAATATCTAGGTGTTAGATGAGGGTGGCTGGTGGAATATTTGGATGTTAGGTAAGGGTGGCTGGTGGAATATCTAGGTGTTAGATGAGGGTGGCTGGTGGAATATCTAGGTGTTAGATAAGGGTGGCTGGTGGAATATTTGGATGTTAGGTAAGGGTGGCTGGTGGAATATCTAGGTGTTAGATAAGGGTGGCTGGTGGAATATCTAGGTGTTAGATGAGGGTGGCTGGTGGAATATTTGGATGTTAGGTAAGGGTGGCTGGTGGAATATCTAGGTGTTAGATGAGGGTGGCTGGTGGAATATCTAGGTGTTAGATAAGGGTGGCTGGTGGAATATCTAGGTGTTAGATGAGGGTGGCTGGTGGAATATTTGGATGTTAGGTAAGGGTGGCTGGTGGAATATCTAGGTGTTAGATAAGGGTGGCTGGTGGAATATCTAGGTGTTAGATAAGGGTGGCTGGTGGAATATCTAGGTGTTAGATAAGGGTGGCTGGTGGAATATTTGGATGTTAGGTAAGGGTGGCTGGTTGAATATTAAGGTGTTAGATAAGGGTGGCTGGTGGAATATTTGGATGTTAGGTAAGGGTGGCTGGTGGAATATCTAGGTGTTAGATGAGGGTGGCTGGTGGAATATCTAGGTGTTAGATAAGGGTGGCTGGTGGAATATTTGGATGTTAGGTAAGGGTGGCTGGTGGAATATCTAGGTGTTAGATGAGGGTGGCTGGTGGAATATCTAGGTGTTAGATAAGGGTGGCTGGTGGAATATTTGGATGTTAGGTAAGGGTGGCTGGTGGAATATCTAGGTGTTAGATAAGGGTGGCTGGTGGAATATCTAGGTGTTAGATAAGGGTGGCTGGTGGAATATTTGGATGTTAGGTAAGGGTGGCTGGTGGAATATTTGGATGTTAGGTAAGGGTGGCTGGTGGAATATCTAGGTGTTAGATAAGGGTGGCTGGTGGAATATCTAGGTGTTAGATAAGGGTGGCTGGTGGAATATTTGGATGTTAGGTAAGGGTGGCTGGTGGAATATTAAGGTGTTAGGTAAGGGTGGCTGGTGGAATATCTAGGTGTTAGATAAGGGTGGCTGGTGGAATATTTGGATGTTAGGTAAGGGTGGCTGGTGGAATATCTAGGTGTTAGATAAGGGTGGCTGGTGGAATATCTAGGTGTTAGATAAGGGTGGCTGGTGGAATATTTGGATGTTAGGTAAGGGTGGCTGGTGGAATATCTAGGTGTTAGATAAGGGTGGCTGGTGGAATATCTAGGTGTTAGATGAGGGTGGCTGGTGGAATATTTGGATGTTAGGTAAGGGTGGCTGGTGGAATATCTAGGTGTTAGATGAGGGTGGCTGGTGGAATATCTAGGTGTTAGATAAGGGTGGCTGGTGGAATATCTAGGTGTTAGATGAGGGTGGCTGGTGGAATATTTGGATGTTAGGTAAGGGTGGCTGGTGGAATATCTAGGTGTTAGATGAGGGTGGCTGGTGGAATATCTAGGTGTTAGATAAGGGTGGCTGGTGGAATATTTGGATGTTAGGTAAGGGTGGCTGGTGGAATATCTAGGTGTTAGATAAGGGTGGCTGGTGGAATATCTAGGTGTTAGATGAGGGTGGCTGGTGGAATATCTAGGTGTTAGATAAGGGTGGCTGGTGGAATATTTGGATGTTAGGTAAGGGTGGCTGGTGGAATATTTGGATGTTAGGTAAGGGTGGCTGGTGGAATATCTAGGTGTTAGATAAGGGTGGCTGGTGGAATATTTGGATGTTAGGTAAGGGTGGCTGGTTGAATATTAAGGTGTTAGGTATAGACGGCAGTTTTAATGGTATGCATGTATTGACACTGGCTTATTATATTCAGTGTCACAATTTCTGTTTCATGACACTTAATAACTATCCTTTAACCTTTATATTCAATATTGCTTACCTCGGTGACCGTCAAGGCCGCTAGGCCTCTTGTTTCTATACGTTAAGAAGCAGGTAAGACCTATTGGAATCTGAAAATCCAATAGTTACCTCATATATTTATTTACTTATTTATTTATTTAATGGGTTTTATGGCCACTATTACGACCTTTTGACCTTTCAGTGGACGAGCGTAACCTCATTTCAGTCCATCTCACCTAAATGCCTCCTTCAGTAGTTTTCGCACTTTGATATTTTCTCTTAAAAAAAATCTAATCTCACTTAAGATGTAACTTTCAGAAATAAACACTTTTTGTTGGAATGTAAACTGATGTTGTTTATGAAAAATCATCAAAATTTTTAAAAAATCAAATAAAATTTTGATGGTTCCTGTCATGAAGGAATTATTTAATAGTGATCTTCTCTTCATAATAATCTCTAGGGAATTTCTTAAAAGCGTGCCTTGTAAAGATAATTGCAGAAGACTTTGCCAAGCTTAAGATTTTGTCAATTTCTGGCTTGCCGTCAGTGTTTGGCAGTTATAGGATTAACTGTATATACATCCTGATACATGACCTTCCTAATCCACCTGGATAGACGAAATCAGAATTTCATCTAGTCACTCATCAAAAGTATACATCACAAGTTTTTTTTCTTTCACTGACAGGAAATTAGAACCTGAAAATAGCCCACCGCAGTCTCATGTTAGTGATTATTTACACAAGCTTTTGGATGAGCCAGAATGCCATCATGAAAGCTCTTTGAAGAAACACATATTAACATTACTCTTCCATCAATGGTTCTGTATACTTTATCATTACAAGTGATTTACAAAAACTTGAATGAAAAGATAGTATTGCAAACAAAATGTTTGTTTTGAAAATATATCAGTAATAAAAGTGAACAATTTTACACAAACATATACAGTTTTTAAAATTTTAGTTTATGTGTTATTGAGAGAAAGTTTTATATTTGTAAACACAAAGTTAACTGTACAACATTTTTACATGTCTTTGTTAAACTGGTTGATCTTCTAGTCAACAACACTTACATCTTTTGTTTACATTTGAAGTGTCAAATCTTAGATATTTTCATGTCTGTTGTTGAAATGGAATAAAAAATGACAAGCAATTCTTTTTTTAAAAAAGCCTGATGGGATATATTTGTTTTACTTAAAAAATAAACCAACAAAATTGGTAGAACAGATGGATGATCCCTCAATAAACACTAGTTCCAAAAGGGCTAATTTTGACAAAATTTTTAGTATGAAAAATACAAAGGGCAATAACTCCTAAATTGTGTGGAAGGTAGTTATTGTTGTTGTAAATTGCACTTCTCCTTATCCAGTTCTATCTACGGATGAAGTTTTATGTTGATGCCTCTTCTAGTTTTTGTGATATGCTCTGGACAAAATTGTGATGGACAGACAAACAAACTGACAGATGGACAAACAAAGTGGTGACTACATGCTCTCCATTTGGGGAGCATAAAAAAATGAGAGGAACCCTCTAGCTGAATACCAAGTTCTGATTTACAAAGTTGTCCTGGTTATAAAGATTTTTACATATAGCTAAGGTCAGTAAAATGAAGCTGTGTTTTGTCTTACCACAGGACCTCAGTGGACCAACACACCATCTCTTACTCATAGCTGTTTGTTGTCTTACCACAGGACATCAGGGGGCCAACACATGGTCTCTTATTCAAAGCTGTGTGTTGTCTTACCACAGGACATCAGGGGGCCAACACATGGTCTCTTATTCAAAGCTGTGTGTTGTCTTACCACAGGGCATCAGTGGACCAACACATGGTCTCTTACTCATAGCTGTGTGTTGTCTTACCACAGGACCTCAGGGGGCCAACACACCATCTCTTACTCAAAGCTGTGTGTTGTCTTACCACAGGACCTCAGGGGGCCAACACACCATCTCTTACTCATAGCTGTGTGTTGTCTTACCACAGGACCTCAGGGGGCCAACACACCATCTCTTACTCATAGCTGTGTGTTGTCTTACCACAGGACCTCAAGGGACCAACTCATAATCTCTTACTCAAAACTGTGTGTTGAAACAAAATAATTTACAAACATCCCTTTAATGTGGCTCTTGTGATGCTTACTCTTAATTTTCTTGGACTGTAAAATATTTGTTGTGTTTTTTTATTTCAGTTATTTACATCCTGTCCTGCTTAGTAGACTTCTTTAGTAACCATAGCGACTACACCAGGTAAGCTTCTTCTTCCCTATTGGTCAGTTGTTGTGGCATCAGTTTCAGGTCAAAATTTCATTTTCAGTATAATTTTACAAGATGGCTAAATACCTTGCAAAAATGTAAAAAAGAAATAAATTAACAAAAGTGTTGTTTTTTTTTTAATTGTAAAGTGCAAAATTGTTGATCAAAAGTACTAATGAATAGAAATATATTTAAAATAGGTTAAAATGAATAAAGATATACTGAAAGGGTTTATTTGATCGTAAATTTTTTTGTGAATTGTTCTATGGTTGAATTTCATTGGGTTTTATAGTACATAATGATATGATATCAAAACATCCTCTCAAAATCAGATTTTAAAAAAATGATGTTTACTTTCTTTCATGCCTGAACTAAAGAAAAGAAAGGAGTGTCATAACTCCTAGTACATGCATACTCTTGACTGACAATTGTGTATGTTTTCCAGGACTGTATTTAAGAAAGCTAATTGAGTAGTTAACACAGATAAATGGCCCAAACAGCTGCTGTTAGTTTTCCTCCTAACTTAGCTTTCATTGGAATCTCTGTGGTCTATTGGTATTTTTGTTATATATATGTTGACTGTCAAAAATTTAGACGTCTGTCTTCACTTGAACTTGATTTATTTCATGACTGCCGTGCTAACCCATCTCTAGATTTTTTAGCATAATATTTTGCTTCTGCAGAATATTTAAGATTTTATTAGCACAACTAAATATTTTAAGATTTTATTAGCCCAACGAAACATTCAAGATTTTAATGGCCTTACCAAATATTTTAAGATTTTATCAGCCCAACAAAATATTTAAGATTTTAATGGCCTAACCAAATATATGAGATTTTCATGGCACAACCGAATATTTAAGAATTTAATGGTCCAACCAAATATTTAAGATTTTATTAGTCTAACTGAATATTTAAACTTTTATTAGCTCATCCAAATATTAGAGATTTTAATGGCCTAACTGAATATTTAAGATTTTAATGGCCTAACCAAATGTTTAAGATTTTATTAGCCCAACCAAATATTAAAAATTTTAATGGTCTACCCAAATATTAGAGATTTTAATGGCCTAACCAAATATTTAAGAATTTAATGGTCCAACCAAATATTTAAGATTTTAATGGTCCAACCAAATATTCAAGATTTTATTTGCCCTGTAGAATATTTAAGGTTTTAATGGCCCACTCATCATTAAGTGTTGTGCTTTTCAGATTGCTGTGATTCTCGTCGGTCTTTTGTTATCACAATTTCCTGAGTAGTAGTGGATGGTTCTTTCGCAGATATCATTTATAGGACCAAAGTCTCATGGTGACCTTTTGCAATTACCTCCTGTGTCATGCATCGTGCATCCATAAACAATTTAAAATTTTTGACTTTTTCTCAAAAAACCCTTAACTGATTTCTACGAAATTATGTAGAAACCTTTCCTGTCATCAGATGAACTAAAAGGATGAATCATACGGTCCCCATTCCACAGGGTCCTGAGGGGCCAGGACCAAAAGGGATCAAATTGACTCAGATTTCAAAAATCTTCTTCTCAACACCCAGATATGGTAGAATCAAATGCTCTTCATGGATGGAAGCATTTTAAGGTGCTTTACTAAAATTGTGAATTTCATTGCCTAAGGGTCTCACTTTTTCCCCTGTGCAGAGGGGTTAAATTTTACTATAGTTTATATTGGAAAAATAAATTTTTGAGCATAATTTGTTTAATTTCGATTGGAAATATTTCAAACTTGGTTACAATTATGGGCAAGGGATGTCAGCTAGATGATATGGTTGAAAAGGTGGACTTTACTGCATTTTTGATCATAACGTTGGTTTATTTCCCACTGAAAATAAGATTTATTAGTATAGGATGACAGTGTTGATGGTATGCAGGTATTGACATGGGCTTACTGTCATCAGTGTCACAATTTCTTTTTCAGGAGGCTTGAAAGCTACTTACCCTTTAACCTTTATAGTCAATATTGCTTATCTCAGTTAACTGTCAAGGCCGTAAAGCCTCTTGTTGAATTTGAATTGATCGGAATAATAAAATTGCTGAAAGGTAGCTACCAAATATCTTTGATTTTGCCAAGATTTCCTGTCAAGATCACTCTAGGATATCATTCTCTAGGATCTGAAGCCAAGATTTCCTGTCAAGATCACTCTGGGATCTATAGCCAAGATTTCCTGTCAAGATCACTCTAGGATCTATAGCCAAGATTTCCTGTTAAGATCACTCTGGGATCTATAGCCAAGATTTCCTGTCAAGATCACTCTAGGATCTATAGCCAAGATCTCTTGTCAAGATCACTCTGGGATCTATAGCCAAGATTTCCTGTCAAGATCACTCTTGGATCTATAGCCAAGATTTCCTGTCAAGATCACTCTGGGATCTATAGCCAAGATCTCTTGTCAAGATCACTCTAGGATCTATAGCCAAGATTTCCTGTCAAGATCACTCTGGGATCTATAGCAAAGATTTCCTGTCAAGATCACTCTTGGATCTATAGCCAAGATTTCCTGTTAAGATCACTCTGGGATCTATAGCAAAGATTCCCTGTCAAGATCACTCTTGGATCTATATCCAAGATTTCCTGTCAAGATCACTCAGGGATCAATAGCCAAGATATCTTGTCAAGATCACTCGGGGATCTATAGCCAAGATTTCCTGTCAAGATCACTCTGGGATCAATAGCCAGGATTTCCTGTCAAGATCACTCTTGGATCTATAGCCAAGATTTCCTGTCAAGATCACTCTGGGATCAATAGCCAAGATTTCCTGTTAAGATCACTCTGGGATCTATAGCCAAGATCTCTTGTCAAGATCACTCTAGGATCTATAGCCAAGATTTCCTGTTAAGATCACTCTGGGATCAATAGCCAAGATATCTTGTCAAGATCACTCGGGGATCTATAGTCAAGATCACTCTTGGATCTATAGCCAAGATTTCCTGTCAAGATCACTCGGGGATCTCTGGCTTTTTCAACATTTTGTAAAACTGATTTCAGCCTGATTTTTAAGTTGTCCTCAGATTTAAACTTGTTTTATACTTTAAAGCTTTAGATATAAATTTGGTTCAAAGAATGAAAAATATAATAGTAGAGGTAAGTAATCAGTTTTTTTTATTAATAAAGGTTTTGTAGCGAGAATACAACACAAGAGTTGAAATAAAATCCTACAAAAAGAAACTGAACCCATACTACTTATCTGGGTGTCTTCAATGTAGGGTCTAATTGAAAAGTATTTTACACCTTGCTAAGTTTTGTATGATAAAAAAGGGCTATTATGACACAGAGTCCCAGGGGTACACTGTCAGACATGTGACTTTTTACCCTGGTATAAGTATTGATTGTGATTCTCTAGTGTTTCTTTATTTTATTGGGCGATCAATGGCATGGTTAACTTCTGATACAGGATTAAAGAATCAGAGAGTTGTCAGTCAGTGAATTATGTAAAATCTGTAATATCAGTAATGATATGTGATGTGTACATATGTTATAGTCAATTACCTCTTGGAGTATAGAAGGAATGAAATATGATGAACACATTTCGGCTGAGCCACTAGCCTCCAGGAATAGTTGAGATGTCTGTACTGTTAAAGATTACAACAACATTTATATATATTGGGTTTGGGTCCCAGTTGTTCATGTCATATTATTTTGAAGATGATCAGATATTCTGTTAGTGACCAGTGGTCATTTTTAAGATTATTGGATATTCTGTTAGGGACCAGTGGTCATTTTTAAGATGATCAGATATTCTGTTAGTGACCAGTGGTCATTCTGAAGATGATCACATATTCTGTTAGGGACCAGTGGTCATTCTGAAGATGATCAGATATTCTGTTATGGACCAGTGGTCATTTTGAAGATGACGAGATATTCTGTTAGTGACCAGTGGTCATTTTGAAGATGACTAGATATTCTGTTAGTGACCAGTGGTCATTTTGAAGAAGATCAGAAATTGAAACTTGTTACCATTTGTTTCAATTTTATATTCATAAATCTTGATCTTTGACCCACTTTAGTAAAATGGAGTGTCAAGATTATGCCAAAAACTCAAAAGGAAGGCTGAAAAATGAAATATTTGTTACAAATCCTCAAGGAATTTTATGTCAGTTGGAACAAATTTTCTCTGAAACATATTTACATGCATATGATAATGGCATATTTACGTATATTTTTCAAATTTTGTCTGTCCAATCTTGTTTTATTTAAACAGACATTTACTTACTTATTAGAACAGGAAATAAGAATCATGAAAGATGTGTCTTAGGTTTACGAGTCCTTTACAGTGGAGGGTATACACATTTTCAGCTAACTTCCAAACTAACAGGCCTACTAAAACCTACGGAGGTGTCATTCCAATACTTGGTAATTGCCATGGTTATCTTCCTCTGCACTTAACTTTTGCTTTACTTCTGTTAACTATAAAGTACAGCAAATGTTATGGTTTTTTCACAACATTGGAAAGTGTAAATGAAGATAAGAAAAACAATTTTTCAGTAGTACAAACCTTCATTCCGACGAATTTCTTTCAAATGCAAAAATCATGTTCGCATTTGAGAACGAGATTTAATTGGTTCAGTCAGCTTTCTCCTGATCTTAATTAGCCAAGTTGTTAATGCATCTAGTTGTTTGTGAGTGAAAGGTCATATGTATGAACAGACTCTTTCAGTTCTGTGATGGAAAGGTTTCCTATTTTGTGTTAATAAAACTTTTTTATATACATGTTTAGACAATATCTCTGAGTTTTTAAAAATGTTTACAGTGTTTCTGTTTAAACACATAAATACTATAAAACCTTTTGTTTAGACAATACATTGTAACTTGGACGTGTTTTTTTCATCTTTAAATATTTTGTAGTAGAGACTAAATTGCTATCTTAAAATTTTAAAAACTTTTCTCCTGAAAATGATAAAATTGTATTATTCACTTGACCTTACCTACAAACTCTCTTTTCCAAGAAAGTCATCAGACTGTGCATAGATAATTATCTGGTATCACTTAAATATCATGTAATCAATACCACTGTAGTTTGTGTAATCTTTGTATATACCCTAAAATATCAGTGTTTGTAGTTTGTGTAATCTTTGTATATACCCTAAAATATCAGTGTTTGTAGTTTGTGTAATCTTTGTATATACCCTAAAATATCAGTGTTTGTAGTTTGTGTAATCTTTGTATATACCCTAAAATATCAGTGTTTGTAGTTTGTGTAATCTTTGTATATACCCTAAAATATCAGTGTTTGTAGTTTGTGTAATCTTTGTATATACCCTAAAATATCAGTGTTTGTAGTTTGTGTAATCTTTGTATATACCCTAAAATATCAGTGTTTGTAGTTTGTGTAATCTTTGTATATACCCTAAAATATCAGTGTTTGTAGTTTGTGTAATCTTTGTATATACCCTAAAATATCAGTGTTTGTAGTTTGTGTAATCTTTGTATATACCCTAAAATATCAGTGTTTGTAGTTTGTGTAATCTTTGTATATACCCTAAAATATCAGTGTTTGTAGTTTGTGTAATCTTTGTATATACCCTAAAATATCAGTGTTTGTAGTTTGTGTAATCTTTGTATATACCCTAAAATATCAGTGTTTGTAGTTTGTGTAATCTTTGTATATACCCTAAAATATCAGTGTTTCATAGGTTTAGGCACTGTTGTTATGGATATTTACATAGTTCTATATATTTGTTATGGTTGATGTCTACAGGTATGACAAAGGTGTGAAAAGTGGTGACCTCACAATGACCTATGTGTCCATGTATCAAGATGTCTTGGCTGCAACTGACCATGTTCATCAGAAAGGGGTGAGTATCTAATGCAGACCAGGCTGGAGATTTTTTTGGCTTCACATAATTAACAGATAAGCTGAGTAATTGAGAATGGTTTGATCAAAGATATGAAAGAAGTAACCCAAAGTAACTTCTAGAAGCGTTAATACCAATTATTTTGTGGCCATATCAGTGTAAGGGAGATAACTTCTGTTTAATGGCCATGCAAGTGTAAGGGAGACAACTGCTGTTTATTTGCCATACCAGTGTAAGGGAGACAACCTCTGTTTATTTGCCACACTTGTGTAAAGGAGACGAACCTTTGTTGCCTCATAAAAGACTTTTAATACCAAAACAGATGATTAGTTCTGTTTTTAGTCCAGATTGCTAAACTATGTCCCTGGTTGGTCTTTCTTCCTTCCTTGTTTCCTTCCTACTTCCTTACTTACCTACTCTAATTAATTGATTAATTAATTAATTAAACAATACTTGCTTATTTTTGGAACTGATCAGGGAAAAAAAATTGGCATACAGACGGTCATCTTTGATTTTAGCAATGAAGTGTGTTTGTCTGTTGCTGAGACTTATACAGGACTATAGTTTAGTGTCCATCCATTGTCCAATTGCATTCTTGTCCGACCCATACCTTCTTCACAAATAATTATGGAAACTTCAAACTTGGTAATTGTGAAAGCAAAAAAGTAACAGCTGAAACATCAAGAGATACAGGCAGCATTGGCCTCTAGCAGTTTTTATTGTATATCTCATTTTTCTGAATTTGTCTTTAAAAAAATGACAACATTCTCCTACAATTGAAATTATTGTCAATTTTTCAGGGTCCATTAAAAAGTGAGACAGTCAAAGATTTGGAGCGTTACGTTATTAAAGACGACCGCCTGCCTGTTTTACTGGACAGGTAACGTTATATTTATACGATTTTATTACTTCTTTTGTTCTCCTTTTGATGTTTTTAAAATTTTATCATGTTTTTTCCTTACTTCATTATTTTTTAATCAAAATCTTGATTTATAAGAGACTATATCAGTTTGATATAACAGAGGAGCTAGATTTCATTACATACTTTATAGTTGTTCAACTTCACTGGGCTAATATTTTGCTGTTGTCCCAGTCGGGACCATCCTCAATACTTCAGGGGTTATAATCATTTTAGCTCTCTGCTCCCCAGGATACATACAGATTTTTTTTATTTTTACTAGAATGAGAGCTCACGGATCTAAGGTTTTCCTCGCTACCAACAGTGACTTTGTGTATACTAACGTAAGTACACAGAATGTACACTGGTATATCTCAGATATCATAATGCTTATATCCAGAAGTTATCAGTGTGTGTCTGTGTGATCTCTCAGGCACTGTAAAGTCCAGCTCACGCAGATTTTGCGTTTTCCACCCAGCCGTCAAAGTGTCCATGCCAGTCCACATTATGTCTGTGACAACCCAATGAGTCACATGTATGGATATGAGGACCTAATGGATCATGTCACCTGGTTACGATACCTAGTGGTCGGCAAAAGATTATCTTACAACGAGGATGTCCACGTAATGCAGTGATATGTCATGGACTGCGGTATACTGTGGACAGTTGTCCACACAATGGGCAGCTGATTGGACAGAGCTGTTTTCTCCATCACAGACGGGTGCAAAACACAAAATCAGCATGAGCTTTAGCATATATCACACATAACTTTATCTGTAGGCAGTATTGAGAAACGTGCCTTCATTAGAACATTGATTTGAATCTGTCAGTACATCTAGTTCTTACTTTCAATAATGTGTTGAATAAAATAACTTGATTATTCAACCTGTCAGATTAGATGTGTATCAATGACTGACTTTATCAGAACAAGATAATTGATAAAATTAGAAAGAAAACGCTATCATGTTTGTAAATAAATATATATGTGAGAAACTTAGAATGGAATAGTATCAGTTCTTCATGTATAATTTTTAGGTCATCTGGACCCGAAGGGTCCGATGACCTATAGTCATCATGCTTCGTCCGTCGTCGTCCGCCGTGCGCCGTCCGTAAACTTTTCATTCAAACGACTTCTTCTCAAATACTAGAAGGTCTAGGGGGCTAATACTTGGCACAGAGGATACTGGCATGGAGCTCTACCAAGTTTGTTCAAATGAATGACCTTGACCCACTTTAAAGGTCACAGGGGTCAAATATGTTAAAATCTTTAAACAACTTCTTCTCATTAACCAAAAGGCTCAGAGTGTAGATATTGGGCCTGTGACATGCTGGGATGAAGGACTACCAAGTTTGTTCAAATGAATGACCTTGAACCACTTTAAAGGTCACAGGGGTCAAATATGTTAAAATCTTTAAACAACTTCTTCTCATTAACCAAAAGGCTCAGAGTGTAGATATTGGGCCTGAGACATGCTGGGATGAAGGACTACCAAGTTTGTTCAAATGAATGACCTTGAACCACTTTAAAGGTCACAGGGGTCAAATATGTTAAAATCTTTAAACAACTTCTTCTCAATAACAAAAAGGCTCAGATTGCTGATATTGTGCCTGTGGCATGCTGGGATGAAGGGCTATCAAGTTTGTTTAAATGAATGACCTTGAACAACTTTCAAGGTCACAGGGGTCAAATATGTCAAAATCTTTAAATAACTTCTTCTCAAATACTAGAAGGCCTAGGGGGCTAATACTTGGCCCATAGCATGCTGGCATGGAGCCCTACAAAGTTTGTTCAAATGAATGACCTTGGCCCACTTTCAAGGTCACAGGGGTCAAATATGTTAAAATATACAAAGGACTTCATCTCAATAAGCAAAAGTCTATCAGTACACAGCTGGGTATAAGAAAGTCATGGGGTTAATCATACACAGCTGGGGTATAATCAGTTTGGTCAGTACACAGCTGGGGTATAATCAGTTTGGTCATACCTGGGTATAATCAGTCAGGTCAGTACACAGCTGGGGTATAATCAGTTTGGTCAGTACACAGCTGGGGTATAATCAGTTTGGTCAGTACACAGCTGGGTATAATCAGTTTGGTCAGTACTCAGTTTGGTCAGTATACAGCTGGGGTATAACCAGTTTGGTCAGTACACAGCTGGGTATAATCAGTTTGGTCAGTACACAGCTGGGGTATAATCAGTTTGGTCAGTACACAGCTGGGGTATAATCAGTTTGGTCAGTACACAGCTGGGTATAACCAGTTTGGTCATTACACAGCTGGGGTATAATCATTTTGGTCAGTACACAGCTGGGGTATAATTAGTTTGGTCAGTACACAGCTGGGGTATAATCAGTTTGGTCAGTACACAGCTGGGTATAACCAGTTTGGTCATTACACAGCTGGGGTATAATCATTTTGGTCAATACACAGCTGGGTTATAATCATTTTGGTCAGTACTCAGTTTGGTCAGTATACAGCTGGGGTATAACCAGTTTGGTCAGTACACAGCTGGGTATAATCAGTTTGGTCAGTACACAGCTGGGGTATAATCATTTTGGTCAGTACACAGCTGGGTATAACCAGTTTGGTCATTACCCAGCTGGGGTATAATCAGTTTGGTCAGTACACAGCTGGGGTATAATTAGTTTGGTCAGTACACAGCTGGGGTATAATCAGTTTGGTCAGTACACAGCTGGGTATACACAGCTGGTATAGTACACAGCTGGGGTATAACAGTTTGGTCAGTACACAGCTAGGGTATAATCAGTTTGGTCAGTACACAGCTGGGTATAATCAGTTTGGTCAGTACACAGCTGGGGTATAATCAGTTTGGGCAGTACTCAGTTTGGTCAGTACACAGCTGGGGTATAATCAGTTTGGTCAGTACACAGCTGGGTATAACCAGTTTGGTCATTACCCAGCTGGGGTATAATCAGTTTGGTCAGTACACAGCTGGGTATAATCAGTTTGGTCAGTACTCAGTTTGGTCAGTATACAGCTGGGGTATAACCAGTTTGGTCAGTACACAGCTGGGTATAATCAGTGTGGTCAGTAAACAGCTGGGGTATAATCAGTTTGGTCAGTACACAGCTGGGTATAATCAGTTTGGTCAGCTGGGTATACTCAGTTTGGTCAGTATACAGCTGGGGTATAACCAGTTTGGTCAGTACACAGCTGGGTATAATCAGTTTGGTCAGTACACAGCTGGGGTATAATCATTTTGGTCAGTACACAGCTGGGTATAATCATTTTGGTGAGTACACAGCTGAGTATAATCAGTTTGGTCAGTACACAGCTAGGGTATAATCAGTTTGGTCAGTACACAGCTGGGTATAATCAGTTTGGTCAGTACACAGCTGGGGTATAATCAGTTTGGGCAGTACTCAGTTTGGTATAATCAGTTTGGTCAGTACACAGCTCATTTTGGTCAGTACACAGCTGGGTATAATCAGTTTGGTCAGTATACAGCTGGGTATAATCAGTTTGGTCAGTACTCAGTTTGGTCAGTACACAGCTGGGTATAATCATTTTGGTGAGTACACAGCTGAGTATAATCAGTTTGGTCAGTTTGGTCAGTACACAGCTAGGGTATAATCAGTTTGGTCAGTACACAGCTGGGTATAATCAGTTTGGTCAGTACACAGCTGGGGTATAATCAGTTTGGGCAGTACTCAGTTTGGTCAGTACACAGCTGGGGTATAATCAGTTTGGTCAGTACACAGCTGGGTATAATCAGCTGGGCTGTATAATCAGTTTGGTCAGTTTGGGGTATAATCAGTTTGGTCAGTACACAGCTGGGTATAATCAGTTTGGTCAGTACACAGCTGGGGTATAATCATTTTGGTCAGTACACAGCTGGGTATAATCAGTTTGGTCAGTACACAGCTGGGTATAATCAGTTTGGTCAGTACACAGCTGGGGTATAATCAGTTTGGGCAGTACTCAGTTTGGTCAGTACACAGCTGGGGTATAATCAGTTTGGTCAGTACACAGCTGGGTGGGTATAATCAGTTTGGTCAGTACACAGCTGGGTATAATCAGTTTGGTCAGTACACAGCTGGGTATAATCAGTTTGGTCAGTACACAGCTGGGTATAATCAGTTTGGTATAATCATTTTGGTCAGTACACAGCTGGGTATAATCATTTTGGTGAGTACACAGCTGAGTATAATCAGTTTGGTCAGTACACAGCTGGGGTATAATCAGTTTGGGCAGTACTCAGTTTGGTCAGTACACAGCTGGGGTATAATTAGTTTGGTCAGTACACAGCTGGGGTATAATCAGTTTGGTCAGTACACAGCTGGGTATAACCAGTTTGGTCATTACCCAGCTGGGGTATAATCAGTTTGGTCAGTACACAGCTGGGGTATAATTAGTTTGGTCAGTACACAGCTGGGGTATAATCAGGTCAGTACACAGCTGGGTATAATCATTTTGGTGAGTACACAGCTAGGGTATAATCAGTTTGGTCAGTACACAGCTGGATATAATCAGTTTGGTCAGTACACAGCTGGGGTATAATCAGTTTGGGCAGTACTCAGTTTGGTCAGTACACAGCTGGGGTATAATCAGTTTGGTCAGTACACAGCTGGGTTATAATCAGTTTGGTCAGTACACAGCTGGGGTATAATCAGTTTGGTCAGTACACAGCTGGGTATAATCAGTTTGGTCAGTACACAGCTGGGTATAATCAGTTTGGTCAGTACACAGCTGGGGTATAATCAGTTTGGTCAGTACACAGCTGGGTATAATCAGTTTGGTCAGTACACAGCTGGGGTATAATCAGTTTGGTCAGTACACAGCTGGGTATAATCAGTTTGGTCAGTACACAGCTGGGTATAATCAGTTTGGTCAGTACACAGCTGGGTATAATCAGTTTGGTCAGTACACAGCTGGGTATAATCAGTTTGGTCAGTACAGTTTGGTCAGTACACAGCTGGGTATAATCAGTTTGGTCAGTACACAGCTGGGTATAATCAGTTTGGTCAGTACACAGCTGGGTATAATCAGTTTGGTCAGTACACAGCTGGGGTATAATCAGTTTGGTCAGTACACAGCTGGGTATAATCAGTTTGGTCAGTACACAGCTGGGGTATAATCAGTTTGGTCAGTACACAGCTGGGTATAACCAGTTTGGTCATTACACAGCTGGGGTATAATCAGTTTGGTCAGTACACAGCTGGGGTATAATCATTTTGGTCAGTACACAGCTGGGTATAATCATTTTGGTGAGTACACAGCTGAGTGTAATCAGTTTGGTCAGTACACAGCTAGGGTATAATCAGTTTGGTCAGTACACAGCTGGGTATAATCAGTTTGGTTAGTACACAGCTGGGGTATAATCAGTTTGGTCAGTACACAGCTGGGTATAATCAGTTTGGTCAGTACACAGCTGGGTATAATCAGTTTGGTCAGTACATAGCTGGGGTATAATCATTTTGGTCAGTACACAGCTGGGTATAATCAGTTTGGTCAGTACACAGCTGGGGTATAATCATTTTGGTCAGTACACAGCTGGGTATGTCATGAATGATGTCAGATTGTTCCTAAAATGATATGGTATAATCATGGTTTTCTGGTACGTATTAGTGTACAGCTGGGATTTACAGTATAATCAGTTTGGTAATTATCATTTCATTTGACTTAAATAAAGGTTGTCATCTTTTGTTTACTGAAATATACGATACACATTATATCTGTCAACGGTTGGCACTATGGTTACAAAGCATTGAGGATTAGGCAGTTTGAGAAATTTAGTTTTTTCATCCTTTATCCCAATGGAATGCTTTTCATTCTAACGAACTGTGACTAAAGTAGGGTTTGTGTTTGACAGGAGACAGGAGCTTTGAAGATTGGTTCACACACAGGTCCAATACAGTCTGGCCAGATATACTCAGGAGGTAAGACGACCTTTTCTAATATTCAACCTTCTTTAAGTTATTGTCCTTTTCTTGTGCTCATCTTCAAGGTCAAGCACAGGACCATAGAGAGTAGATCAGTCCTATTTGTCCTCAAGGTCAATCAGAGGACCATAGAGAGGAGATCAGGCCCCTTTTGTCCCCAAGGTCAATTACAGGACCATAGAGAGTAGATCAGTCCTCTTTGTCCTCAAGGTCAATAGAGAGTAGATCAGGCCCCTATTGTCCTAAAGGTCAATCTCAGCACCATAGAGAGTAGATCAGGCCCCTTTTGTCCTCAAGCTCAATCACAGGACCATAGAGAGTAGATCAGGCCCCTTTTGTCCTCAAGCTCAATCACAGGACCATAGAAAGTATATCAGTCTTATTTTTCTCCAAGGTTAATCAGAGGACCATAGAAAGTAGATTACCCCCTCTGTCCACAAAGTCAATCACAGGACCATAGAGAGTAGATCAGTCCTCTTTGTCCTCAAGGTCAATCTCAGGACCATAGAGAGTAGATAAACCTCCTCTGTCCTCATCCTCAAATCTAACAACTGGAACCAAGAAGGAAAAATGCTTTTGAGGATGCCATAGTTACTCTGAATAAACATTTAGGTACGAAGGAGCCATTCTTTCCTACCTGCTATTGATGTTTCCATACTTACCAACCTATACAAGATATGAGATTTTTAACATATATTCATTTTCTTCTTGTAGGATCTGTGGATGTGTTCTCTGAAATGATGGGTGTGTATGAAAAAGATGTCTTGTATGTCGGTGATCATATCTTTGGTGATATCCTCAAATCAAAGAAGGACAGGGGCTGGAGGACATTTCTTGTTGTCCCTGAGCTTTCCCATGAACTCTCGGTGTGGACAGACAAACGCAATCTCTTCTCCAAACTTGAGGATCTGGAAAGCATGATCGGGAATCTCTTCAAGTAAGGATCAAACTGTGTGTGGTTCTAAAATTTATAATTTGTATTTTGTTCATGGTTATTTCATGGTTGCAAGATTAATTTCACATTGTTATTTGAAAAAATTGGTCAAAAAATTATATGCAGGGAGTGATTGCATTCTTGTATAACAGAAATTTTCCAGTTTCTGAAATATTTTAGGGAGTTCAAAAGGACTGGAATACAATTTTAAAAAACTATGAATAAAAATGAAAGTTACATATGTGTATGATTTCAGGAACCTGGACAGTAGCTGTGATGTTAAACCTAACTTGAAGGATATTCAACACACCATCAGGGTAGGTAATCTAAAAGATTGAATTAATCCTTCTTACATAACAAGGAGTTATTTCCCTTACAAATTCGACATGCACACAAATCTAAGTGACATAAATGGTAAATATATGTGACCTATATGTCTGTAACATAAGTGTGACATATATGTATAAGGTAAATGCATATATGTAAAATATCAGTATAGAGGGACTATATGTTACAGATTTACGGATATCCTTATACCTGTAAGGAAACAACATATATTTATAAGACAGGTATATGTGACATTTACATACATTTAAAATTGCATTCTTTCTGTGTTCTTTCCAATATACGCTCTGATAATTCTAAGTCAAGAAATATGTGGACTAACAATATTTTTGAAAACTATTTCCATCACAAAGTGACCAAACATTTTTTTTTTTTCAAATCATAAAACAAACAGGTGATATGAAATATATTAATATAGATATCAAAATACTACAATTCACAAGAACTACCTGTTTGTAACAGTCTCTTCAGAAAAAGGGGAAAGGTGAAAAAATATGCGGTACAATTCATATGTTTTTGATGAAAATATTTTATACCAATATCAATTTCAAACCGTAGTTCTGCCTACCAGTTTTAACCGTAATGAACATTTTGTGTGATTTGAAACTTCATTGATCCTCAGATGTTTTCTTCTCTTCAAGGGGATCTGAAACTTAATATTAGGACTTATTGTTATATAGGTCTACATGTATACAGTATATGTCACAAATATATATATATATATATATATATATATATATATGTGCTGTAGACATTTACTTATACATATATATGAAAACATATACCTATATGTCCCAGGCATCTATCTATAATAAGTCACAGGGTCATTTGCATCTCATTTACATTTACTCATTTATGTAGCTTATACAGTATATTTACAACAGATTTCATTTGTTTGTCTTATAGAATGTATCCCATGAGATGGACATGACATATGGCATGCTGGGAAGTCTGTTTCGGAGTGGTGAGTTCAAAGTCTAAAAAAAATGGTTACTCTGGTAACCATGGACACTCTGGTAACCATGGACACTCTGGTAACCATAGACACTCTAGTAACCATGGACACACTGGGTAACCATAGACACTCTAGTAACCATGGACATTCTGGTAACCATGGACACTCTGGTAACCATGGATATTCTGGTAACCATGGACACACTGGGAAATAATTGGCGCTCCAGTAACCATAACATTATTGTAACCATGGACACTGATAACAATAGGTATTGATAACCATGGCCCTTCTGGTGACCAATGACACTCTAGTAACAATGGATATACTGTAACTATTTATACTTGGTATCCTTGGTAACCGTAGACACTATGATTACCATGGATTCCATTCTGGTGACCATGGACACTTTTTAGCCTTGGATTTATGAGTAAACATGTATGCTTGAATGACCACAGATACACTGGTAACATTAGACACTGGTATCAATGGATACACTGGTAACATTTGACACTGGTATCAATGGATACACTGGTAACATTTGACACTCTGGTAACAATGGATTCACTGGTAACATTAAACACTGGTAACAATGGATACACTGGTAACATTTGACACTGGTAACAATGGATACACTGGTAACATTTGACACTGGTAACAATTGATACACTGATAACATTAGACACTCTGGTAACAATGGATACACTGGTAACATTTGACACTGGTAACAATGGATACACTGGTAACATTTGACACTGGTAACAATTGATACACTGATAACATTAGACACTCTGGTAACAATGGATACACTGGTAACATTAGACACTGGTAACAATGGATTCACTGGTAACATTATACACTGGTAACAATGGATACACTGATAACATTAGACACAGGTAACAATGGATACACTGGTAACATTTGAAACTGGTAACAATGGATACACTGGTAACATTTGACACTGGTAACAATTGATACAATGATAACATTAGACACTCTGGTAACAATGGATACACTGGTAACATTTGAAACTGGTAACAATGGATACACTGGTAACACTGGTAACAATGGATGCACTGATAACATTAGACACTCTGGTAACAATGGATGCACTGATAACATTAGGCACTCTGGTAACAATGGATACACTGGTAACAATGGATGCACTGATAACATTAGGCACTCTGGTAACAATGGATGCACTGATAACATTAGGCACTCTGGTAACAATGGATGCACTGATAACATTAGGCACTCTGGTAACAATGGATACACTGGTAACATTAGGCTATCAATGGATACACTGGTAACATTTGACACTGGTAACAATGGATACACTGGTAACATTAGACACTGGTAACAATGGATACACTGGTAACATTTGAAACTGGTAACAATGGATACACTGGTAACATTTGACACTGGTAACAATTGATACACTGATAACATTAGACACTCTGGTAACAATGGATACACTGATAACATTAGACACTGGTAACAACGGATACACTGATAACAATAGGTATTGATAACCATGGCCCTTCTGGTGACCAATGACACTCTAGTAACAATGGATATACTGTAACTATTTATACTTGGTATCCTTGGTAACCGTAGACACTATGATTACCATGGATTCCATTCTGGTGACCATGGACACTTTTTAGCCTTGGATTTATGAGTAAACATGTATGCTTGAATGACCACAGATACACTGGTAACATTAGACACTGGTATCAATGGATACACTGGTAACATTTGACACTGGTAACAATGGATACACTGATAACATTAGACACTCTGGTAACAATGGATTCACTGGTAACATTAGACACTCTGGTAACAATGGATTCACTGGTAACATTAAACACTCTGGTAACAATGGATTCACTGGTAACATTAGACACTGGTAACAATGGATACACTGATAACATAAGACACTCTGGTAACAATGGATTCACTGGTAACATTAGACACTCTGGTAACAATGGATTCACTGAACATTAACACTTAGACAATGGAACAATGGATTCACTGTTAACATTAGACACTGGTAACAATGGATTCACTGGTAACATTATACACTGGTAACAATGGATACACTGATAACATTAGACACTCTGGTAACAATGGATTCACTGATAACATTAGACACTCTGGTAACAATGGATTCACTGTTAACATTAGACACTCTGGTAACAATGGATTCACTGTTAACATTAGACACTCTGGTAACAATGGATTCACTGGTAACATTAAACACTGGTAACAATGGATTCACTGGTAACATTATACACTGGTAACAATGGATACACTGGTATCATTGGACACTGGTAACAATAGATACACTGGTAACATTAGACACTGGTATCAATGGATACACTGGTAACATTTGACACTGGTAACAATTGATACACTGATAACATTAGACACTCTGGTAACAATGGATACACTGGTAACATTATACACTGGTAACAATGGATACACTGATAACATTAGACACTCTGGTAACAATGGATACACTGGTAACATTAGGCACTCTGGTAACAATGGATACACTGGTAACATTGGACACTGGTAACAATAGATACACTGGTAACAATGGATACACTGGTAACATTAGACACTGGTAACAATGGATTCACTGGTAACATTATACACTGGTAACAATGGATTCACTGGTAACATTAGACACTGGTAACAATTGATACACTGGTAACATTAGACACTGGTAACAATGGATACACTGATAACATTAGACACTGGTAACAATGGATACACTGATAACATTAGACACTGGTAACAATGGATACACTGATAACATTAGACACTGGTAACAATGGATACACTGATAACATTAGACACTCTGGTAACAATGGATTCACTGTTAACATTAGACACTGGTAACAATGGATTCACTGGTAACATTAGACTGGTAACATTATGGTAACAATGGATAACACTGATACACTGATAACATAACAATGGATGGTAACATTTGACACTGGTAACATTTGACACTGGTAACAATTGATACACTGGTAACATTAGACTCTGGTAACAATGGATACACTGGTAACATTAGACACTGGTAACATTAGACACTCTGGTAACAATGGATACACTGATAACATTAGACACTGGTAACAATGGACACTGGTAACAATGGATACACTGGTAACAATGGATGCACTGATAACATTAGACACTGGTAACAATGGATGCACTGATAACATTAGACACTGGTAACAATGGATGCACTGATAACATTAGACACTCTGGTAACAATGGATACACTGATAACATTAGACACTGGTAACAATGGATACACTGATAACATTTGACACTGGTAACAATGGTGGCCCTTCTGGTGACCAATGACACACTGGGATAACATTATGAGTAAACATGTATGCTTGAATGACACTGGTAACAATGGATACACTGGTAACATTAGACACTGGTAACAATGGTAACAATGGATGGATACACTGGTAACATTAGACTCTGGTAACAATGGATACACTGGTAACATTAGACACTGGTAACATTGGACACTGGTAACAACGGATACACTGATAACATTAGACACTGGTAACAATGGATTCACTGGTAACAATGGATACACTGGTAACAATGGATACACTGGTAACAATGGATACACTGGTAACAATGGTACTGGACACTGGTAACAATGGATACACTGATAACATTAGACACTGGTAACAATGGATTCACTGGTAACATTAGACACTGGTAACAATGGATACACTGGTAACATTTGACACTGGTAACAATTGATACACTGGTAACATTAGACTCTGGTAACAATGGATACACTGGTAACATTTGACACTGGTAACAATTGATACACTGATAACATTAGACACTCTGGTAACAATGGATACACTGGTAACATTTGACACTGGTAACAATGGACACTGGTAACAATAGATACACTGATAACATTAGACACTGGTAACAATGGATGCACTGATAACATTAGACACAGGTAACAATGGATGCACTGGTAACAATGGATGCACTGATAACATTAGACACTGGTAACAATGGATACACTGGTAACATTAGACACTGGTAACATTATACACTGGTAACAATGGATACACTGGTAACATTAGACACTGGTAACAATGGATTCACTGGTAACATTATACACTGGTAACAATGGATACACTGATAACATTAGACACTCTGGTAACAATGGATTCACTGTTAACATTAGACACTGGTAACAATGGATACACTGATAACATTAGACACACTGGTAACAATGGATACACTGGTAACATTAGGCACTCTGGTAACAATGGATACACTGGTAACATTTGACACTCTGGTAACAATGGATACACTGATAACATTAGACACTCTGTGTTTCTGTCAATGCTAATCAGAGTATTGAGATTCAGGTTACCATGGACACTCCGATAAGCATGGACATTCTGGTAACCATGGACACTCTGATGTTGTATTTTAGTCACTTCATTTAAACAAATGAAAATTAGTATTAATATATAAATACTTATTATTTAATAATTTCTTCACCTTTTTGTCTGCGACTGAGTTTCTGACACGTTTCTCAAAACTATGGGATGAATATTAACGATTTACTTGATTGTCCATGTATGAGAGGCATTGTGCAAGGGCTTTTCAGTTTTTCAGTTGGTCCTCTTACTGGTCAACCAATGCCTATTTGGTCAAGATTTTGCCAAAATTTAGATGTTATCCGATTTCCATGAAAGTTGTGTTCAATTCATATAAATTGTTTTGTTCTATAACAATTGCAACTTTAATATCTCGATACCCACCTAGTGTGGTAGAATGATTTATCTCTTAAAGAGAAAGGATTTAATAGAATGAAAAATAATTACTTACAAACTACAAAATGTTTTAAACTAATGATATGGTTTATATATTAATTGTCATTCTATGCTTTGATTTGCTATATTCTGTTTCAGGTTCGCGACAGACTTTCTTCGCCAGCCAGGTGATGAGATATGCTGACCTATATGCAGCTACTTTCCTTAACCTGTTACACTACCCATTTTCGTATGCTTTTCGAGCCCCTCCAATGTTGGTAAGCCTCTGATACTTTAACATGACTGTACGTTTTCCATGATTTCCATGGAAAAAACATGTGTCCATGGACATTTCATGGATGATGGCCATGGATAATTTGTCCGAATTATCCATGAATGTCCATGGACAACGTCCATGAAATTTCCAGGCATTTATTGTCCATGGAATTTACACACGTCCATGAAGTCCATGGACATTATTGTCTGTGTCTTTTCCATGGAATTTATTTTGGCCATGTATAAAATTAATTTTTTCCATGAACACAACTATAGGTTTACTTTATTGTGTAAGATTATGATCACAAGAATTTCTTGAAACACAGACTTTTAGGGGAATGTACATTGTCCACAAATATTATATGTTTCTTGTACTATGCCCTCCATATCTGGTAACCATTCACCTATATCAATATAAATTCTCCAAAATTGACAATAAATTTGTTTCCATTTTCCTACAAGCCACTTGCCCATTTTGGAGCCAGAGCTGACATGTTAGCTCTCTTGGCTTATTTAAGAATATCCATAATGGTAAAGTGGCTAAATTTGTCCATCTATTTGCCTTAAGATGCCACATGAGTCAACAGTGGGCCACGAAGCTTATTCCAATGATGACACAGATGTTGACCGCATGGCACCAAGATCTCGTCAAGTTGCAGACTCAGACCTAGTTGCTCGTCGGGGTCGTTTGGAACGTGCTGATAGCATTGTGCCACATCTTTACGCATCAACTCCACGACAGTGCACACAAATCCAGGAGGACGAGGACAGTAGCGACAGTGCGGAGGAAAACAAGTAGATCTGGACAAGAGTTTTCACCTGATATTTCAGAAATCTTAAGAAAAGAAAATTTTCATTCCTCATAAAATAAACACTGCTGGGACTATATTTGATGCTGTTTTTGGTAACTGCATGGTTCAAGATTGGCTCTGATCAAAATTTAGTAAATGCAGTAAGAATGATGTTTGATGAACCATGAATTATGATGTTCTTCCATTTAACCATATCATTCCATATTTAAGTGATTGATAAAAAAAGTCTGTTAAATGATGTTGGTGGTAAATGCATTGTTGTCTGGTAATCATGCTCCCCCCAAGGGAGAGCACATAGTCGTTGCTTTGTCCGTCCGTGCAGAAGTGCCATGTACTAGAACTCTCTTTTGCATAATTGAGGGGTTATTGCCCTTTGTTATCTTTTCATACTTCAATGTTGTCCAGAGTATCACACTAAAACTAAAGAGGTATCAACATGAAACTTTTAGCATTTATTCTGAGACCATCAATCAGGTCTACTGATTCTCTTGTTTTTTTATTTGTTAAGAAGCTTTGTCCTGAATAACCTATATTGAAAAATGATTATTAGAATTACCTGTGATAACTACCTACAACTGGTCCTTTGATACCAAAGATAGCATATGTCCTGTAATTTGTAAATTATCTTATTTGTTCCTGTAGACAAACATTTTTTAGATCAAGTTAGTGTGTGATGTTTACTTTTTTATATTCCTTTATCTTTTTTTCTAGTGTTGAACAATTTGTAAATATGTTTTTTAACTTCATTGATTCTATATTGTTAGAGTATGTTTGTAGATACACCTTATATATATCAACATTTTAATCTGTTTTTGGAGACTCATGTTGACTATGTGACTTGTTTTTTTAATCCCACATATCTTTTATCTTACTGGGTATAATATTTAATGTATTGTTGAATTGTACAGATTGTGTGAAATTTTCACTTTTAGATTTTATGTGTTGTTGCTTCAAACATTTGAATTTGGAATTTGCACATTTTAGATTTCATGTATCACAAAATACATGTAAATGTAACAAAAGAATTTGACTAAGGTAGATATCTGGACAGTATGGTGTCTGCTCTTTCTTCAAGGTCACTATTCCAACTTGTCCTATCATACCTTTAGTTACCCCAATTCTCCACAATTGTTCAGATTATCAAATAGACTCACATCACCGATGGCTAAACGGCAATTTTGTAGGATTAACTGGATTTATTCCTCTTAAAGTATCTGAGCTTAAGCTTGGCTTTTAAGAATATGAAGAAAAGACATGTTTGTTTGTGTATCATATTTTTCAACATTTTTGCAAAGTATATTTTGATATGTGAAAGATAGGTTTATTGTTTTGTTATGTGTTATTGTTGGAAGCAGTCACAACAACATTTTATAAGTGGATAAGAAATTGAACATGGCAGGCCTAATAGAAAAATGGTAAAATCTTCAGTTATCGAGTATTCATGCATTTATATTTTTTGTAGATAATCTTCACAGCTAACTCACTCTCAGCGTATGTTATTACTAAATAGATCAAATAAAAATCCTCGCTGTGGGTCAAAGGTAACAAATTTTTCATTAAGTTTTTCAAAGGTCTTTCAGTAATTTGTGGATCTATCAATCAATTTCTTTCAGACTAACAAACTTAATCACTATGACAGGAAGTTGTGTTTTCATGAATGGTAGTTTGATTCCACTGTATTTGGAAGAGTTACTTCCCTTCTTTTACAATGTCAATCTTGTATGGAGATCTCTGCTCTTAGTTTTCAACTGATTTCTTTCAGACTTGGCAGACACAACCATTCCATGACATTTAGTAGTGTTTTCCTTGCTTGCAGTGCGATTTTACAGTTTTGGAAAGAGTTATGGCCCTTTGAATTTTTTATATTTCCAATGTTTTTATCAAGACCAGATATCTTCTACCTCAAGTTTTGAAATGATTTTATTGAAACTTGGTAGGCATTAAAACCACAACATGAGATTGCGCTCTCATTGTTATTTAACAATATTTCAAAAGTTCTTACCCTTTGTTTTTTTGTTCATTTTTATCTTATACAGATATTTGTCAGTTTTCTACCCATCATTAATTCATATAGCACCGTTATCCCTCTAGACATTTTGAATTAGAATTACCATTTTCATTTTTTGTATTCTTTTCTATACAACAAATTTTAAATATTTCTTTAGTGTAGAATGAGTGTATATTGTTCTGCCCAATGATTCTCTTTTTCTATATGGTTTACCATTCATAGTGCACAACTGTACAACATTTTGAATTTTTACTTTCATCTTTGTAAAATGGATGCAATTTCAATGACAGTCGTAATACAATGTTTTCCTACAACAGTATTAGCTTTGATGTAATTGAAAAAAAACAAAAAATGGCCACCTTGACTAGACATATTTATTTTTACCTTAAGGTCCAGCTTTTTTAATTCATCTTTGTATATGTTCTGTTCATTAACAGAACAAAAATATTTTGTGTCAAATGACAACCTCTGGTTTCTTGTAGGGATTAATTATCAACATAATTTTTTTGGATAACAACTTTAGAAATAACTATTTCTCAAATTCTACAACGCCTTGAGTTTTCATAAATAATATGCAATATGGCTGTCAATTTTGTGAATGTCTTTGACCTTGACTCATTTTTAAGGTCAAAGAAGTCAATTGTGTTCCAATTTTTAAATGGCTTCTTCTCAATCACCAAGAGGCACAGGAGGATGATATTGCTTGTAGAAATCTGAGATGAAAGATTATCATTCTGTTCAAATCAATGGCCTTGACCTTTTTCTAAGGTCACCTTGGTCAATTGTGCAATTTTTTTTTAATTTGAAATAGTATCAGTACACTCAGGAGTCTGATTTTTTCCTTAAAATCTGATTGAAACCATCAACTTGGAAACAATATTTGATGTACCTTTATGGCCAGTTGTCAAATGTGAAGATCACACATTTTGATGTAAAATATACTGTGCTGCTTCTATTAAATAATTCCATGCAAACTAATAAAGAACAACTTCAACAAGCACTCCAAGAATGATGCTTATGCAAAGTATTTTAAAACTAAACAGAGCAATAGTTTTCTCTAACAACAACTGCCAACTAAAGGATGAAAAGTTAGATTCTGTAGATAGATAGCTGTATCACCAAATTGAACTTCTGACTGTAGAGGAGAGGTGTATGTGGGTATGCTTTCTGGTGCTACAAAGAAACAATATCAAATTTTACTAGTTTTATCATTTTTGACAGAGTAATTTAGTATTTGTGCCACTTTTGTTTTTGAACTGCCTTCTTGTTTGTATACATTTTAACTTTTATTAAGATATACCATCAGTAACCCTCTGTGTTTTATTTACCTGTCTTTTAATTGCATTTAAAAAATAATACCTCAATATGTACTGTATATTTCCTATTGCGGAAAACCTGCTGGATTTCACTAACATACTGCTATATGGTTAAACACCAACTGTACATATAACTTTGACATATCAATAGATGTGAAAATATAGCACTTTTAAATTAAGGCTTTGTTTATCAATTTACTCAACAAAATAAAGTGAACCAACTTGGAGAGGTTTATTGATCTTATGGTAAGTCTACAAAATATCAGATCAGTAAATGTGACCTCTGACTGACCACACTTAATGTCGTCCAGAACCTGTAAATAAATACATAGCATTGGAAACAATAATTAGGTCACCTGACACAAATCTCTAGATGACCTAATGTGACTAAATTTTGTGTGGCGCCCTGTGTCAACTATTTAACATTTTCACTTTCTTCAGAACCCCTAAACCGAAATTTTGCAGAAACATCCCATGGCCAAAGGTGGACTGAAATCAGGTCACCTCATGTGAAATTTTACAATTACATACTCTTGGCGATGAGTAAAAAAGAAAATTTAATTAAACACTTACTCTAACATGCTGTTTATACGCCACAGCCCAAATTAATCTCTCCATAATACTGGTTAAGTGTCTGAATGCATCTTAATGTATCAGACACATTCGACCTGGAAAAAGGTCAAACATATTTGAAAAAAACTATTGGATATGTGCTTTCTGCATTCTGATTAACAAACAAGGTAAAATGATACATTACTGTTAGGTACATTGTATGTAAAAGTGAACATCATAAAATCTGCTGAATGACCAAGGAGCAACGGTCATTTACAGTAAAACCTGTTCATAGTTACAAATTACCACGGCATCCCAAATACAGAAACTGCATGCAAATCTACAGTCCTTTATATTGATATGAAGAGGAGGAGTTCTGACAAGATTTGTGGACAATTAACATCAAGACAGGGTGATTCTAGTATTCCCCCCACCCACTCCCAACCCAACCCCACCCAACTTTGTTGCAGACTGACTGCACAATACTTCTTAGCCACTCAAACTAGAACATCACTCGCTCAAATATAGTTGTATACTGATAGATGGAAAGATTTCAACATCTCCACCATTAACTTCTAGTGACAGAAACTAAACCATTCACGAGAACGAAATCAAATTCATTTTAATATTGATCTTGATATATACATGTTTATAAAAATAATAAGTATATCGTTTCATCATCCAAGCAAGAGAGCTAATAAATATTGAATTACAAACATAATAATGAAACACTGATTATATCCAGCTCCATATAAAAAGACTGAAGTGATGATCTTATGTGATACAAACCACATCAAAATGTTTTACCTTATATGACATCTTTTGTACCAGTAGTTTTAATTGTAGGTAAATATGAATTCTACCTTGATACATTTGACTGTACAATAATTGATGCTGTCCGAGGTTTAGATCCATGCCAATTTCATGAGTATTCTTAATCTTTATATCAATAAACTGCTAAGGATAGTTGGCATAGGTTTTTGGTTACCTAAAAAATCAAGTTTGTCTATGATAAAGTAACTTTCTTAGCCGTACAAAAATATATATGATATGACAGATCATTACTTCAAGGCTAGATACATAGTTGTATGGAAAACCAAAGTTGGGAAAGAAAACCTTAACAGTTACAAAACAATTTGGTATATCATAAACCCAATTGTTACATCATCACCCTACAGTCTCTGAATTAACTGATACATTGTAACTCTACAGTCTCTGAACCAGTTGATACATTGTAACACTACAGACTCTGAACCAGTTGATACATTGTAACCCTACAGTCTCTGAACCAGTTATTACATTGTAACCCTACAGTCTCCGAACCAATTGATACATTGTAACCCTACAGTCTCTGAACCAGTTGATACATTGTAACCCTACAGTCCCAGAACCAGTTGATACATTGTAACACTACAGACTCTGAACCAATTGATACATTGTAATTCTACAGACTCTAAACCAGTTGATACATTGTAAAATTGTTTAAAGTTCAACTTTGTGAAGTTGTTCCTGAAGATGACTTTGAGAATATATTGTAAGGTAACCAAAGTTAAAAACATTCCACTCTAACATAGATAAACACATACTAAATTAGATATTTCTGGAGATGACCTCAGAACTATAAATATCTGTAGATATCAGATAAAGTTGAGGACTACACCTCTTATCCAACTACCATCTGAGTAAAATACAAGTAAACACATTTAATTAATCTGCAAATCACTCTGTTCATCCAAGATAGTAGAAACCTGTTCCCCAATTAAGACATGTACACAGAAAATATCATACACCAAACAAGTACAGTGAAAAATTATAGTAGATCTGAATGATAAATGCTTACAATTTAAAAAATGCATAAAGTGTGTAACTGAACGAGATGTTGGAGATACACACTTCAATATTTAAAATCCAATATGGCTGCCTCTCAGCAATATTTTGGGTTTTTTTTTTAGATCTGTCCAGAGACAGAAATCAAACTTGCACAACCAGGAAGGGGAAAGATCCATCCACTGATTTTCTGGGAATAGCAATAACAAACTTTAACTCTCAAAATCCAGTATGGCTGTCAGCAGTTTACTTTCCCTTTAGTCCAAAAATTGACCACACATAACTAGGGACTACATGTGAAATTTCTGAAAGATCCAGTACTCTCGAATAAATTGCAATAACAAAAATCGTTTAAGAACGGACGACTGATGGATGGACACCTGACAAAAGGATTCTTGAACATTAGATCATCTAATGAACGTGGACTTGGAAAAGAACACTCAAAATACTTCACAGTTGTAATCTTTGGCAAGAGTTTGTACGGAGGACATCATTATTTTGTCATTGTTTTGGAGTGTCTGGTTGATATGATCTGAACTCATAGTCTCACGACAGAAATCCAGTGGAGAATAAAATCTGGCGCACTGTTTCCCTGTCATCCGCTGACAACGGCTGTAGTGGAGATCGAGTCGGTCCCCCGTAGTAACCCATCATCTCCATGGCTGCCTTTAAGCCTGGAATTCCAAACTGTTTGGTTACCTGTGAAACGGAAAATTTTCAATTACGCTTTTCCTTAACAATTGAATTCATTGTCTTCAATTTCTTTTCTCACCAGTTCTAACATTAATCTTAGATTTAAGGATTAATGAGTTTCCTAACTTTTATTTAAGCCAATAATCAAATACGAATGAAACTCCAAACAAAAGACCAAATCTATCTCCTCAGAATTTAAAGCACTATTTGACAAGAAGATTTTCAGCAATGTAAAAATCTTAGAAAAAGAACTAAAAATGCTTTTATACTCTTTCTTCTATATCCCAAATGAAACCTCATGATTTTCAGCACTCACAGCTGTGTTTGGTGCTATCAGTCTATGTTGTAGTTGTCTGGCTTCTTCCATCTTGTTGGCTTTGTACAACTCCTCAAGGTCACATAACTCCTGCCCAAGTACGTTTCCAAGGGCACACACTCCACCAACACAACCTGGAAACAATTTTCAAACTGCCATTGAAAATACAGTCAAACCTTGTTTTCTCAAAACGTGTATAACTTGAACACCCCATTTAAGTCAAAAAATTTCTTCGGCCCCTGCCTAACTTTACACAAAAACGTTTAAACTCTCTTAAATTGAAAACTCAGTAAACTCAAAGTTTTTCTGTGGTCCTGCCGACCTCAAGATTGCGAGGTTTGACTGCATATACCAGCTATCAAAGGAACTGTCCTATATAACAAGTGATTGCTCAGTCTGTACAGCCTCAAACTTCACAACTTAAGGTGAAGATCTAAGGTGTGTGCCTTTAATTCTTAGTTGGGCAATATGTCTAAGAAAACTAAAATCACAAATTGTTTTGTGTTGTTATGGATATGTCCTTATGCAAGACACTTAACCCCTATGCTCTGAAATTTTGGAAAGCATCTGACAAGCTTCAAACATGTTTGTTCAGTGAGAAAGACACCTGCAGCAGTATAAGGCGACTACACTTGGATGATAAATCCAGTCAACTACAGTAGGGACCAACAGAAATCTACATATGAAATTTGAGAAAGATCCATCCTGTCCTCCAGAAATATCAATAACAAGCTTTCATTGTTAAAATCCAAGATGACTGCCTTTCGACCATTTTGTCTTTCTGATCAGTCCCAAAAACAAAGGGGCACAAGCAGGGACAAAGAGGAACCTTCAGATGAAATTTGAGAAAAATCCATCAAGTACTTATTGCAAACTAGCGATGACAAATTTTCATAGGTGAAATTCAAGATGGCCATATGTTGGCCATTTTGTTTTCTTGATCAATCCCAAAGTCAAACAGGCATAACTAAGGACCAAGGGAAACCTACAAATGGAATTTTAAAAAAGATCCATCTGGTACTTTTCCAGAAATAAAGATAAACTTTCTTTCATAAAATCCAAGATGGCCAGCTTTTTAAAAACCATCAAAGTTTCTGATCAGTCCCAAACTGAAACAGGCACAAGTAGGGACCAAGGGGAACCTACATATTAAATTTCAACAAATCCATTCAGTATTTCTCAAGATATAACAAATTTCATCATAAAAATCGAAGAGGGCCACCTGTCAGTCATTTTGTTTTTCTGATCAGTTCCAAAATCAAACAGGCAAATCTAAGGACTAAGGGAAACCTATAAAAAACTTGTACTTTTAAAAAAAAATAGCAATAACAAAAATTGTTTATGGACGGCCGGCTGACCATGGACCACAGATGTAGGGAGATTTTAATAGCCTACCATCTGATGATGATGAGCTATAAACAAAGCAGTCACATCCTGCAAATGATTTTCAAGATATTGAATCTTTACAATAAAGTAAAATCAGTTTGGTAAACTAGTGTTATAAATTATTGATTTGTTTAGTTTGTTTTAAAATTATTTCATTCCTCAGCTATTAATATTTTGGAATCAAAACAACCAATAATGCATTGATATTGCTGCCATCTTGAATATCACATGGGTCAGAATTTTAGGCCAATACATATACAGGGCTCTCGATCTGTCAGATTTGGGGCCAATATTCGGCCTCATTCCCAATGCAAAATAGTATCTTTTTTTTTAAATTTAAACCTGAAGTTTTCCCAATTCTAAGGAAAACACCATTATTTTTCCCAATTCTAAGGGCCCCGGGCCCCAGTCCCAAAATGGGGTGTGAGACCCCTGGTATATCATGATGATACCCTGTCTTCCTATCATTATCCATATTCATGCAGATCAATAGCAATCTTATTTATATATTTTTTTAATTGTATGCAGATGGCCATCTCATAACGACATTGGTAGAGCTTCTTATCATTTACCCAGTACATCTGAAATACAAAACTAGTCAGATTTGTTTTAGATCATCATGAAAACCCAGTCAACATTTACCAACAACGTAGCCAGACAATAAAAATCCAGCAGATCCGGCCAGAATCTGGAAATCTGCATCCTTGGTTTTGTAGGCTATCAATCCAATGGATGTGATCTGTAAAAACATTAATGTTATAGATATCAAATAGGTATCAAGGGGAAGAATCTGTGTGATCCATACCAAGTCACTCTTTGGTTCCTTCTGGGAATTTAATGGTACTAATTAATGACACTATGACAGTCACAACTCACAGATATTTATAACATTCTATTAACACTACTGTGAAATACACAAACTAAAATATGTAACTCTGTCACAGACTTACACAGATCTACCACTCAGGACAGTGACAGCTATATACTGACTGTATCAACATATACACAAACCAGTCAATGATTGAGACTGATGATGTCAACACTAGCCCAACACATAGGATAACTTTGTAAATATTGTACACTAAACAACTGTGTGATATTGTCACACAACTATGATATAAACTATATACATATTCACTGACCAACACATTTAGCGATCAGCAACACCATGACTACTTGGACCCTGCTGGTCACTAGTGTGGTAGTCTGTCGTCAATAGCAACACCATGACTACTTGGACCATGCTGGTCACTAGTGTGGTAGTCTGTCGTCAATAGCAACACCATGACTACTTGGACCATGCTAGTCACTAGTGTGGTAGTCTGTCATCAATAGCAACACCATGACTACTTGGACCCAGGAGATACTGGAGTAAACAAACCAAGATGCCCATAGGGCCTGTATTGTTCACCTGGTTTAGTTTGCTGAAATTGCTTCATTAAAAGAATCCAAGGGGGCCAAGATGCCAAGTTTCTTCAAAACTAAATTCTTTTCATCCAAAGATGCTTCAGATAAAACTGAATTATTCCAATAGAAGAATGATTTAAAGAATTTTATCTATTTGGCCTATTGGACCCTGACCTCTTGCTGAAAAGGGCCATGACCTGACATTTATACAAAATTGATCCCCTTCACCCAAGCATGCCTCAAACAAAACTGGGACAGAATCCAGACATTCCTACAGAAAAAAATCTGAAAAAATCAATTTTATTTCTATTGAGCACCATCCCTCCTGCCCCAGGGGGCCAAATCAATTATTTATACAAAAGTAATTGCCCTTCATCCATTAATGCTTCAGACCAAATTTGGGCAAAGTCTAATTCCTACAGGAGAAGGAGGATTTTAAAAAATATGCTCTGTTTCCCCTATGTGGTCCCACCTCCTTGACCCTAGGGGACTGAGACCCACTGTTTATACAAAGCTGATTTCCCTTCATTCAAGAATTCTGCAGACTAAATTTCAGCAAAATCCAGTCATTCCTACGAGAGAAGGAGAATTTTAAGTAATTTTCTGCATTTCCCGTATTGGGCCCCATCCCTCTGGTCACAGGGGGCTGTGTACCACTGGTCAAAATCTGCTCTGACGTTCATGACTAGAAGCGATGTGTAGAAAAAGTTGATGGACAAACAGAGGGACAGATGACAGCCAGATGACAGACGGCTGTGGTATGGCATAAGCTCACTGGTCCTTCTGACCAGGTGTGCTAAATATTGCAAAGGAAGTATACATAAAGATTTACATCACCACCGCTGTCCTTCAAGCCTATGATATTGGGGTGTTGGGCCAGCTCCATAACAACAGCAGGTGGAATGGTTATGTTGGTATTGGCTGGAACACTGTACAGTAGGATAGGTATAGAACTATTGTCAGCTACCTACAACAGATAAAGTTAGGTCACTACAACAAAAAAGGAACATGTTATCATTGTGACGGGGAACATGTTATCAGTATCATGGGGAACATGTTATCAGTATCGTGTGGAACATGTTATCATTGTGATGGGGAACATGTTATCATTTTAATGAGAAACATGTTATCAGTATCAATGGGGAAAATGGTATCAGTATAATTGGAAACATGTTATAATTGTGACGGGGAACATGTTATCAGTTTCATGGGGAACATGTTATCAGTATCATGGGGAACACATTATCATAATGCTGGGGAACATGTTATCAGTATAATTTGGAACATGTTATCATTGTGATGGGGAACATGTTATCAGTATTATTGGGAAAATGTTATCAGTATCATGGGGAACACATCATTGTGCTAGGGAACCTTAACAAATTTTCATAGGCAACATATTACCAGGTATAAAGGCTGTAACATCAGAGATTTACCTTGCTATAATGCTGTATCAGTGCTGAGTTATTCATAGCTCCCTTGTAGTAACACGGGGTGACAACTAGCGCCACCTGGGCTCCAGCATCTGCCATTTTATTGGTCATCTCGATAGTATCTTTAGTTGCTGAAAGAGTATATGAATGTGCAATGCTACTTCATTATTAAAATATTGATGAAAGTAATGAACAAAATAATAGCTCTGACAAGTGGCCGATGAGCCTCGATGGTCATCAGACAATAAAGGCCTTCATATATATATACCAGTAGAATTAGTAGTAGAAACTATTATCTCATGATTAAAACATTTCTATTAGCAGTATAGACAAACAAGAGGCCCAATAGACCTGAATCAGTGAACTGTTCTAGAGTTTACACTGAAGACTTTGTCTGTTCATAAGGTTAATTTCTATACACTTGAAATCCTATTCCTCAAGAATGCTATTACACAAATACCATGTACCAGGACCTTTTTCTTGTTGAAAGAAGATGTTTTCAGTTCTCAACACATCTGACACCCTTGACCTAGAAAGTGGGTCAAGGGCAATCATTTGAATGAACTTAGTAACCCATAATCCAATTTTGTTATAGAGCTGTTGACGTGGGTCAAAGGTCATTCACTTGCAAAAACTGGGTAACCTTCATGTCAGAATGCTACAAGCCTGATATCACCACCTGAGGCCTTTAGTTATTCAGAAGAAATTGTTTGATGAATCCAGAGTCAAGGGACACTGCATGCACGTTAAAACAGACACATGATGTAAGAAAATGTTAATCTTTAATCATAAAATCAATCGAAACTGTGTGAAGACTTGTAGCAGAATCAATTTCTAATGCTGTTTTTCTGTTTTTATATTGGCTGATAAGAAGGCTCTAATCAAGATTTTTCCTGCCCTGAAAGTGGAATATATTATCATTGGACGTTAAAAACCCAATTGATTTATTGGGGTCATTTTCTAAATGGATATCTTATAGATATATCCAAGATCATTCAATCCGATCAACTTATACATAATATCATGTAATGAGGAACGTAAGATCACAGACGGATATGTGTTGCATGAATTCTTTCTTGTAACTGATTTCATTCCCTATCATATCAACATTTAACAACTACCAATGACAAGAGGATGCTATTTCTTCTGAAACTTCTTAAATCAGTGTATTATAATTATATAAGTACATATAGTTTAAAGACACTGCCCTCGAGTGTCACACACAATGTGCACAGCGTGCCACTGACGATAGAGGAAAACCCTACATTACTCAGCCATTTTCAAAAATAGTAACATGAAACTTGCTACAATCAAAAAACATTTGAACCAATCAGAAAGCTAGGAACATTAGAGTGGTGGGACAGAAAAATGATACACAATGTGCAAACCATGTTTGAACGATTTGCAAAGGATCTCTGCACAGTGTGCGAATAATAGAAAGCTTGTGCAATAGTCTCACTCACACAAAATGTGTGCATCATGGACGATAGAAACAAACTCTGTGCGATAGCAATCATGGTTGATATATATTTAAGACCTATTTATCAATAACTTCAAATCAGAGACGTACATATCAAATTAAGTGGAATGTAATGACTTTCATAAAAATCGCCAATTTCAAACACAATCACTGATATCTACAAATTTAAAGAAAATGGTAATGAAACATTTAATTTATTGGGAAATGTTAAAGTAATTAAGTTTCAATTGGTTGTGTCATTGTTTAACTCCGAAAATAGCGGCTTTTACACAAAACATGTATAATATGCAGATGACTGTCGATACGGTTTTAATTAACAAAGTGTAAAAAGTTGTGTGTCAATTCAGTTTTCTTAATTTTGTTATCCTAACAAGGTTTATATAATAATGTTTCAATGAGTCAGCTTTGGTATGATCTCGTTTTTAACACATTAGCTGCTACAAATGTACACACACTTACACTCAAAAACTTCGCCTACAAAACATTCTTCTGCAAAACGTTCCTGAAAGAACATGCCTCTTAAGACCCCAGGCCAATTGTCAACACATGACTGGTACATTTTTATAGACAAGAGTAAGTCATGAAACATGCTGCGGGTTTCATTCTAATTCAATGTCTCAAGAACAAAGTTTGTATGAATTGTTTGAATTTCTTTCCACAAACATTATGTTGGATGCCATAACCATTAACAAAAGCATCATCACACTCCCATTATTTCAGCTAAAAGGTTTACTGAACATTTAAAAAAGCCTCATCAAAGAAACCTCAATATACTTACATTCACAGCCTGAGCCGGCGATGATCAGCTTCTCTGGGTCTGCCATTTTTCTCACTTGATCAACCATTTCTATCCTCTCCTCTTTGGTTAGGTAAGCATATTCTCCATTTGAGCCCTGTACCACGTACCCTGATCACAACAACATGTAGGTCAGTATAACATACTCTCCGTTTGAGCCCTGTACCATGTACCCTGATCACGACAACATGGAGGTCAGTATAGCATACTCTCCATTTGAGCCCTGTACCATGTACCCTGATCACGACAACATGGAGGTCAGAGTAACATACTCTCCGTTAGAGCCCTGTAACACGTACCCTGATCACAACAACATGGAGGTCAGAGTAACATACTCTCCGTTTGAGCCCTGTACCACGTACCCTGATCACAACAACATGGAGGTCAGACTGACATACTCTCCATTTGAGCCCTGTACCATGTACCCTGATCACGACAACATGGAGGTCAGCATAGCATACTCTCCGTTTGAGCCCTGTACCACGTACCCTGATCACGACAACATGGAGGTCAGTATAGCATACTCTCCATTTGAGCCCTGTACCATGTACCCTGATCACGACAACATGGAGGTCAGAGTAACATACCCTCTGTTAGAGCCCTGTAACACGTACCCTGATCACAACAACATGGAGGTCAGAGTAACATACTCTCCGTTTGAGCACTGTACCACGTACCCTGATCACAACAACATGTAGGTCAGTATAACATACTCTCCATTTGAGCCCTGTACCACGTACCCTGATCACCACAACATGGAGGTCAGAGTAACATACTCTCCCTCATCCTACCAGTACCTGTCCTACATTCTACCCGTTTCTTACAATCTACTTGTTCAGACCATTTCCAGTCCCTTACCCTATCTGTACCTATCCTACAATCTACCTGTTTAAACTTTTACCTGTCCCACATCCTATCTGTACCTGTCCTACAATCTACCTGTATTGACTGTTAGCTGTCCAAATCTTATCTGTACCTGCCCTACAATCTATCTGTATTAACCGTTACCTGTCCCACATCCTATATATAACTATCCTACAATCTACCTGTATAGAATGTTACCTGTCCCTGGTCCTACCTGTACCTGTCCTACAATCTACATGTATTGACTTACCTGTCCCTCGTCCTACCTGTACCTGTCCTACAATCTACCTGTATAGAATGTTACCTGTCCCTGGTCCTACCTGTACCTGTCCTACAATCTTGTATTGACTGCCTGTTCTACAATCTACCTGTACTGACTGTCTACTTGCACTTGTCCAACACTTTATTTAGAGCACGGTCACATATTAAAAGTATGTCTAGATGAATATTTGTGGTTGATAACTTTTCAAAGTAATGTTTGAGCTATTGGACTGTACTCTTAAAGATCACGAACGTTTTTCCCTTTGCACCTACTCATAAAATTATTATTTGCACTTCACTAATGATATATTTACAAATATTACTCTACTCTTTCAATTAAGACTAGTTTACCTGTACATACTTTTCAAAACGCTACATCGTTTTGTTCATCCCACCGGTAGGCTATTTAATCAGTTTACATATACAATTTACGCACACTTTGCATGCGTGCCTACCTCTGAACGGTATTTTGTTCCAACGTTGCAAGTTTTCTTTCAGACGGTCATAAGCTATTTTTTCATCCTCGTTGAAAGGTGTGGCTATAGGAGGGTATATACCACTGACATCAAGAACCCGGCCTGTGGAGGCAGATAGAGAGCGCCCGAAAACACGGCCCCTATTACAACACAATGACGTGACATTGCCGCATTTCGGAATTCGGCAAGTTAAAATCGGCAGGCCCTTCCTGACAATAAACGACATCGTCTCCAACTTTGTGTTTTCTTAAAACGTTAACCGACTTTCACGTAGCCGCAGCCATATAATCTGAAACCTGGTAACTCGATAGCCTTGCTTCAGGTCACAATCATCCAGACGAGCCGACTTATCAAAACAAAACCACGTGTGTACATTTACATACACACTTTGTACCTCTAATTTAAAGAGTTCTTTACTCAAGTCAAAACCGTGCGAAATTTGAAATAGAATTTGAGTCTCCAATTGATTTTCTAAAAGATATTTTACTGGCGACTTTTGAATATAAACCATTAAGACGTAAAGGTTTTAATTAGACAAGTTTTGCAGGGAAAATTAATCCCGTTTGCCCAAGGAATTCCTAGTGACTAGATTTGGTTAAAATCTTTCTATCTAAACTGGGTTTAATGGAATCTAAATTCAGTCGAGGTAGTTACATCGGATATGATGAACAGATAAAAAAACGTAGATGTACAGCATTAATAATGAAGATACAAGGCCCTATGATACATTTGTGTAATACTAATTAGAAGAACTTTGTGCCATATTCCTGTCACTAGAGGAGGTTTTTAATTTGCTGTCCTAAACTTAGGTAGATTCGATCATTTCTATCTTTATCAGGTAAGATTCAAAACTAAACTGAGATTTATCTATATCACAATATTAAACAAAAATAACACAATAATATTAGGCACGCCCCATCATACGTCCCAGATGATATCAAAATAACACAACATAACAAATAAGATCAGGGACACCCGGTGTCATATCATATGTGTATCCCCTATCATAAAAGTATTCGGATACTTTTTCCCCCACCATAAAAATATCCAGGGATAATTTTTTGCCCATCAGAAAACTATCCCCTTATATTATTTGTACTATGTAATTTGTAATCTCATGAATCTTGCTGTTTGGCAGTTCTTCAGGGGATTGATATATAGATCAACCAGAAAAATATTATCCTGTCATTCTAGGAGAATGTTTATTGTATATAGGATTATATATACGTTACGTAATAGCAATGATGGAAGACGGCAAAAAGTATAGTACAGTAGATATATAAAAAAGGGAACAATTACCAGATATATTGAGGAGGTGGGTACCTTTTTGATAGACATCATAATAGTACCTAGGGTTTTTTTCTGAAATATTAGTGGGGGTACATATAATAATCATAAACTGTGTTTTTTTTTACTTTAAAATGTTTCGCATCTTTCTTCCGGGAAGTAAAACTCAGTAATACCCATACTTTGTACCACACATATACCTTTCTTTACGCTTTATGTAAAAGGCCAAAGACAAGATAGTTCCCTCTGATAGACAACTAATCAGAAATGAAACTGGTCAGGATCCATCATCCTGGAAGCCTTGAATCCTTGGCTCAGCATTGATTCATAGGAATCAGTCTTTGGCTCGTTATAATACAAAACAGAAAGAAGAGAAATAGTCACTCTGCATCATAATTTTTATTTATTGTGTCACATGTAGCAGAAAGCATCAGACATTATAGAATTGGTACAAAAACAAGAGGCCCACAGGGCCTGTATCGCTCGTCTGGATCTTAAAGACCAGCAATGTTATACATGCCTATAGGTTGGGTATTTCAAATATTTCCAAATTTAAGCTCTGTCACTTAACCTCTTTGATAGGACAAAACCATTGGGTAAATTCTTATACCATTACTGTCTTTCTCTTTTGATTCCCAGTAAAAGTTTATATGGTTATTGGGTTGGTATCTCAGCTATGTCAAAAATATGACCCAGAAATAATGTCCTTTGAGTTGTGCCACACCCAAGAGTCAATTTTTACATAACAAATGTGTTAATCTCTTGATCCCCAACATTGCTCTATGTTTATGGGGTGGGGATCTTCAAAGATATAACAAGGGAACTAAGTCTCCGGTGATGGGGCAAGCCCCTCGTGTCATTTCTGACGTCATTATTGTGTTTATATCTTGATGCCCAACATTGCTATAAATTGTTAAATATAAACCTCGATCACCCTAGATATTTTTCTCATGGCCATCATATATAAATGATAAATTTGTTGAATACATATAAAGTAATGCATGAAATGAAGGATTACTGTAAGTATAATTTTATCATGAGTATTTAAGGCAAATGTCATACAAATATATCATGTGCCTTTATCAAAAAATGGTTTGATTTTAAATATTTGTGTGTAATAGAGGTGGGAGGGGAGTACTCCGGTGCGAGTTACGTCCCTTGTACATGTACCACTGGGTATGCATATAGATAATTGGTGCGATTCCATAATACACACTAATCGGAAAGACGAATGCACAGAAACCTCGCTTGTACTTTAAGTATGATGTATAAACTTTTTATTTTTTTGTTTTTGTAAAAGAAATTTTTACTGACAAAATCGTTAGCCAATAGCAATATACCTGAACTAGCGTTTGTCTTTAAAATAGCGCTTCAAATTGAATTTCACGCTTTGCATTCACATTCCTCATGAATGCAGATTAAAGGTAATTCATTGTTTGTGTTTATCATTTTCAATCTTCAGTTTGTGGTAAGATAATACAACTTCTTTGTTTATTTACATGTCGGCGAGGAAACTCGAGACAAACTTCTTTTCGCTTTATTGCTCCGACACAAAATCCTCCAATGTCAGGAGAAAAAGTCGCGCATGCGAAAGATACACACCATCACTACTGCATCATTGTCGATTTACCGGCTAGCTTTTATTTGACAACAGTAAATACGCACACCCGCTTGCGCCGACGCTCAGCAACAGAACGAATAGTTAGAGAGACAGAAAGCCAGAAGAGGCGTGACGTAAACAGCTATTGAAACGCAATAAGCATGCAATACAAGTACATTTGATAAAATGCTGAGTTGCGTTCAGGTTTATATCAGACTGGTTCGGCTACATAACACACATTCCACTGGACAGGTACACAGTCACGTAAACAACACGTCACGCATGCACGGTAACATCACATACACGTACATAATACATAAATACAAGCAGGTATTTATGTATATAGAGAGACAGAGACAGACAGACAGACAGACAGACAGACAGACAGACAGACAGACAGACAGAGAGGTTACATACAGTATTCATATGTTGTTGACATTTCATTAACTGGTAACACATAACTGGATGAGCCTACATAATTTTTGTTACAAACATACACACACACACGCACGCACGCACACACTTCATTGCATATATACATGTTTATACGTGTATATACATGTACATTTCTTCAATTGACATTGCTCATTATTTGTCCCCTAGCGGTGAAACCGGAGGAGACTAAAGTGTTTGTCTCCGTCTGTTTGTCCGGATGTTGGTTTCCAGACGATGACTTGAGAAAAGATAGATGGATTTGACTGAAACGTCACTTACTGTTAGGATATGAGGTAATACAGAGTGAGATTGAGTTTGGGGTCGAACGGTCAACTACAAAGGTCACTGTAGCTATACATAGATATTTTTCGTCAAATTTTGGTTTTCAGATGGTAACTTCAGAAAGGATTGACGGATTTGTTTGAAAATTCATACGCTGTTAGCTTCTGAAGTTATATAGAGCCGGATTGAGTTTGGGGTCAAAGAGTCAATCAGCTTCGAAGCCACTATCACTAAAAATAGTCTTTTATCGTCATAGTTTGGTTTCCAGATGAAAACTTATGATAGGATTGACCAATTGTATTGAAATTTGATGCACTGTCATAATATTAGAAAATATACGGATGGGATGGAGTTGGAGGTGAAAAGGTCAACTGTGAAGGTTATGAAGGTCGCTTACTACAATAGACATTTATCACCATTTTCAGGGCCCTGCATCAAAGATACGAGAAGCAAAATTTGTCAAAATAACACCAGTAGTCAACTGACCAATGTTCAAGGTCACTGTGTCAAAAGGTCAAGGTCAAATATTATATCTTTACTGACAATTTAGATATAAAGGTTAAATTTATTTTGAAAGGTCAGAGGCAAAGCGGGGTCCTTTCTGATATGTCAGTGTTTTTAGTTTGTTTTCCAAATAATCACGCAATTAAATTAAGGATGATAAACTTGATTAAAACTTCATACAGTATTAAGCACAAAGGAGTGCATAAACATTTTTTTCGTGTTATTTTCTTGTTTTTGAATCCTCCCTGTCCAGACACTGGTTTTAGGAGGGAAGACTTTCAATTTTTAAAATGAGATATTTGTTCATTGCTATCAAGATCTGTGTTGCTTAGAAAATTTAATTTACGACAGGGGACGAGGGTTGCATGCAACACTAGCCGTAATTCAGTATTATTAACAAGAGATCCCAGAGGGATCTTAACGTCCACCATTGTTTGATCTTTATTTGCTCTTTGAAAGTTGGATACTTTCCCTTCTTTTCTCTTTTCTTCTCTGTTTTTGCTCTTAATGATAAGCCGTTTGAACATTTCTTTGCGGAAATTTCGATGATAATCTTTACTTGTCGAATCCGAAATGGCCGTTTGGAAGCCATTTTGTTTTTTCTGATCAGTCCCAAAATCAAAACAGCACAAGGAGAGACCATATGGAACATACTTACGAAATTTGAGAGATATCCATTCAGTACTTCTTAAGAAATAGTGATAACGAAACTTTCGAAGTAAAAAATTCGAGAAGTTGTTCTTTTGTGATCAGTACCAAAATCAAACAGGCACAACTATGGACAAAGGGAACCCACATATCATATTTAATAAAGATCCATTCATACTTCTGAAGAAATAGCGATTACAATCTTTCAAAGTCATAATCCTTTTGGTCAGTCCCAAGATTACATGGACAGCTAGAGACCTCATCTGAAATTTAAGAGAGGTTCATCCAGAACTTTTGAAAAAATAGCGATTGAAAAATTTCATTGGAATAAATCCAATGTGTTCACCAAAATTAAACAGGCACGACTAGGGACCAAGGGGAACATACATATACAGTTTGAGGATGATCCACCCAGTACTTCTCTAGAAATAGTGATAACAAAAATTGTTTACGGACGAACAGACGGACAAAACGCTCTCTCTTAGGAGAACATAAAAAATAATGTTGGCGTTATATTATCAATTGATATAATCAATATATGAGTTGCTATGGTGTGGGTTT